GGGAGATGTCAACAAACCTGCAGGATCCAAACAAGCCTTCTCCTTCCCTTCCGTCTTCAGTGTCTTTTTTTTTTTTTTCTTTCCCCCTTGCGCCTCCTTAAACACCTTTCGAGTAAACCCGGGTTCCCGTTCCCTCCGTGGCCCGGGAATTGCCCCCGTGGCTGCCTGCCCCGGCCCCTCTCTGCCCACACATTGTCCCGGCCCTCGGGAGCAGGGCCGTGGGCTGCATCTCACGGAGCCTCGACCCTCACCGTGGCCCAGAGGAGGTGGTGGCAGCGGGTCAGGCTGGGGCCAGGAGCCTGGTGTGTCGCAGAGGAGCCAGCGCGGTCCCCCCAAGCCGTGAGCTCCTGGGCACCTCTGAGGAGGGGGGGACCCGCTTCTCCAAGGGCGTCTGCGCTGCAGGTGCGGACCCAAAGGAACCTGCTGGTCCTGCATCTTCCCGTCCTGGGCGGGCAGGGGGTCCCCACGAGGCCTCAGCCTTGACGTGGTGTTTTTTTTTTTTCCCCCTTCTCCTCGCTCTGCAGGCTGCAAAATCAAAGCCCTACGCGCCAAGACCAACACGTACATCAAGACGCCGGTCAGGGGTGAGGAGCCCGTTTTCATCGTGACTGGGAGGAAGGAGGACGTGGAGATGGCGAAAAGGGAGATCCTCTCGGCTGCAGAGCACTTCTCCATGATCCGGGCGACGCGCAACAAAGTGAACGGGCTGACGGGAGCGATGCAGGGGCCCCCCAACCTGCCGGGACAGACCACCATCCAGGTGAGGGTCCCGTACCGTGTGGTAGGGCTGGTGGTGGGCCCCAAGGGAGCCACCATCAAGCGGATCCAGCAGCAGACGCACACTTACATCGTGACGCCCAGCCGGGACAAGGAGCCCGTCTTCGAGGTGACGGGCATGCCCGAGAACGTGGACCGGGCCCGGGAGGAGATCGAGGCGCACATCACCATGCGGACAGGCTCCTTCGTGGACGTCAATGCCGACAACGACTTCCACTCCAACGGCACCGACGTCTGCCTCGACCTGCAGGGCAGCACGGCCGGCCTGTGGGCCAAGGCCCCCCACCCTGCCCGGCGCCCCTCGGCCGCCCTCCGCAACGACAGCCTCGGCTCCCTGGGCAGCGCCTCCACCGAGTCCTACTACAGCGGGCGGGTGGCGGACGCCAGCCCCACCAGCCCCTACAGCACCAGCAGCGGCTTCACCTTCAGCGAGCCGCCGGCCCCGCTGGGCTCGGAGGAGTGCGACTTCGGCTTCGACTTCTTGGCCCTCGACCTCACGACGCCCACCACCGCCATCTGGTCGCCCTTCGAGCGCTCGGGCCACCCCTTGCAAGCCTTCAGCAGCTGCTCCTCCATCAACGGCTCGCAGAGACGCAGCAGCGGCGCGGCCACCCCGCGCCACTCGCCCACCCTCCCCGAGAGCGGCGGCGGGGCCCTGGAGCACCCGCTGGCGCGCCGCATCCAGAGCGACCCCGTCAGCACCTTGTCCTGGCTGCCCGCCCAGGGCTCGCTGTCCTCCTTCTCCAACAGCACCGGCTACTCCTCCTCCTCCTCCCTGCCGGGCAGCGTCTCCGCCGCCTCGGGCTCACCCACCGACTCCAGCAGCTCCGACGGGCACCGCAAGAGCTCCCGCGAGTGCATGGTGTGTTTCGAGAGCGAGGTGATCGCCGCCTTGGTGCCCTGCGGCCACAACCTCTTCTGCATGGAGTGCGCCATGCGCATCTGCGGCAAGGCCGAGCCCGAGTGCCCCGCCTGCCACACGCCCGCCACGCAAGCCATCCACATCTTCTCCTAGCCGGGTCCGGCTCGCCGGGGCGGCCAGCCCTCCCCTCCGCCCCCCCCCCCCCCACACACAGCTTTTTAAGGACGTAAACTGTTGAAATCAGCATTTTTATTTAATAACGGATCCGATGGGTGCACGGGGTTGGGGAGGGGGGGGGGGGATAAGGAGAGGCTGCTTGCTGGCTGGAGAGGCGGAGAGGGCAGGACGGTGGGGCGGGAGGGCGGCCGAAATACAGGGGATCGGGAGGGGTGGGGGAGAGGGGGCCGAAGACAACGAGGAAGAGGGGTGTGAAACTGCAGAGAGGAGGAAACTCCGATGTTTACAGAATAGCTTTAACTCTTCACCCGGCTGTGGCAGCTGGGAGGAGGAAGCCCAGCTGTTCTTCAACAGTCCTTCCCAAATAACAGTATTCAGTTTGCAAAGTTAAATAAACAGAAAGAAAAGGTCCGGTTGCACTTTTTATTTTAGGACACGCAAGGGTTGTCTTTTATTTTTTTAAAATCATTCTATTATTATTATAATTTTTTTGTTGTCGTTCTTTTTGTATGTAGTTATTTTTTTGGATGATTCTTGACAGTTCTATAAATATATATGTATTTTTTTTGTTGTTTTTTTGGTTTTTTGTTTTTTGTAACGCAGGTCTATCTTCTGTTTTGCCAATGTGAAAACTTCCCAAAAACGTGTGATGAGAGGTCGGGGGTCATGGTTGGAGGGGCCAGGCTGGGTGGGAGAGCTCGCGGGACAGAAGGGGCACAGTTAACACGCCATGTTGCAAAAACCAGACAGATTTCTATCTCCTTTTTATTTTGTGGTTGGTTGGTTGGTTTTTTGTTTTGGTTTTTTTTTTTTTTTTTTAGTTTTATTTTTTTATTTTTTACCTCTTTATGTATATGTAGGGAATTTATAGGAAAATATGTACTTTATTGAATAAATTTTAAAAACTAAAATATATTTTATTTTAAAAAGAAAATAACGGACCTTTAACCTTACATGGCTAAAGTACTGATTATATATTTGCTGAGCTGACTTGACGGTTATGAAAATTGTATCAAGAGTTTTATTTTTTGACTTCAAAGCCTTCTTAATAAAGACTTTTTACTATATATGAATTGACGTGCTGCCTCCAGCGTCTCACTGCCCGCAGCCCCTGGGCACCCGTTCCAGTGGCCCTGCTCTGGTTTTGGGTTGGGTCTGCCGGTGGTTTGCTCCTTGGCAGCGTTTACCCTCCGTGTGCGGGGGGCACGGACCCCCCCCCCCCCCCCCCCAAACCCGGCGGCCAAGCTGGGGCAGCCGGGGTGTAAGGCGGGAGGGGGTGAGGGGGGTGGCGCACCCCCCCGGGTGCCCCTGGCAGGGGCTCAGCCCCCGCTGGCTGCGCAGGGGCTGTCCTGGGGGCCCTCGGGAGGTGCCCTCGTCCCCTTTGGGGAGCGGGGGCTGCCTGGGCTGACAACTCGGCCGTTAAGGGGGCTCCAGGCCGGGTCCAGGGGCTGCGCAACGAGGGGGTCATTACTTTTGTCATCAGCAAATGCCTTTGCGTGTTGCCTGTTGCAGAGCCTGCTCACTCTTTTGGGGTTTTGGTTTTTTTTTTTGGGGGGCTGGAGCGCGCCGGTTTACCGAAGCTGGCACCTCTGGGATGGCTTTGGCCGTCCTGGGGGGGGGGTTTGGCAGCTCTGAGGCGACGCGGCAGGGCTGCCGAGGCTCGGCTGGGAAAAAGTGGGTGCCAGCTTGGGTGTTCAGGGCAGGAGCAGGAACCAACGGGGACATCTCCCCCCTCCTGACAGGCAGATTTGTCCCCGTCCGGGCTGGACGTCCCTGCTGTGGGTCTGGCCACCTCTTTGTCCCCACGGGTGCTCCTGCTCCCAGCAAGGCGGTGCTGCTTGCCATCCTCCGGCTCTCACCCTGCTTGGGCATCCCCCTTGTAGCTCTGTCCCCAGCTGCACCCCCCACCAGCCACCTCTGGGTGGTAACTGGTCACCCAGGCTTTGTCCCAGCCCTGCAGGGCTGGCCGGGCCACCGCAGGGACCCACAGGCAGCGGCACCCATGGGCAGGGGGGACCCATGGGTGGTGGGGAGCCACGGGCAACAGGGATCTACAGACAGCAGCACCCATGGAGAGTGACACCTACAGACTAGGGACCCACAGGCAGCGGCACCCATGGGCAGGGGGACCCACAGAGAGCGGCACCCATGGGCAGTGGGGACCCACAGGCAGTGGCACCCACAGAGAGTGGCACCCATGGGCAGTGGGGACCCACAGGCAGTGGCACCCACAGAGAGTGGCACCCATGGGCAGTGGGGACCCACAGGCAGTGGCACCCACAGAGAGTGGCACCCATGGGCAGTGGGGACCCACAGGCAGTGGCACCCACAGAGAGTGGCACCCATGGGCAGTGGGGACCCACAGGCAGCGGCACCCATGGGCAGGGGGGACCCATGGGTGGTGGGGAGCCACGGGCAACAGGGATCTACAGACAGCAGCACCCATGGAGAGTGACACCTACAGACTAGGGACCCACAGGCAGTGGCACCCATGGGCAGTGGGGACCCACAGGCAGCAGCACCCACAGAGAGCGGCACCCATGGGCAGTGGGGACCCACAGGCAGCAGCACCCACGGACGGCTGTCAGTACAGCACCAGTGCTGTGTGTGGCCACAGGTTTTCATCATTACTGGAGTTTCTCTGTAATGGGGGGGGGCGGGGGCTGGCAGCGGGGCTGTGCCGCGGGGCTGTGGGGGTGTGGGGGTGCTTGGAGTGCCCTGGAGGGGGACCTGGGGTGGCCCAGGGTGCCCTGGATGAGGGCTGTCTGTCCTAGGTAGGAGGGGTGCCCTCGATGGGCTCTTGGGGTGCCCCAGGTAAGGGGGGAGTTTGGGGTGTCCTGTGCAGTGGGGGGGCCCAGATAAGGCTTCTCAGGATATCCCAAGTGGGGTCTTGTGGTGCCCTTCATGAGGATTCTTGAACTGCTCTGCATGGGGGGCCCTTGGGGGTGCCCGAGGTGGGAGGGATCTTGGGGTGCCGCAGCGAGGAGGGGGGGAGCCAGTCCTGGCACCCCCCAGGAGCTCCTCTGGCCCGGGGAGGGGCTGTGGAGCTGGACGGGAGGCGGAGTGGGGCGGGGACCCCTAACCCCCACCCCACCCCACCCCCATCCAATTAGCGGCAATTAGCGGCCATAAAAGGGCTGCGGGCAGCGGGGGTGGGAGCACCGGCAGCAGCGTGGGGGGTGCCATGGCCGCGGGGGACCTGTACACGCAGGTGAGGGGGCTCGGGGGGGTCCCACCCCGGGGGGGTGTAGTGGGGGGGAGGAGGAGGTGGCGGTGGCAGCTGGGGTCCGGGGTGCTTGTTGCAGACCTGGGCGGGTCTTGTGCCTCCCCAGAGAGGCTGCAGGTGCTGTGGCCTGCGTGTCCCCCCCCTCGGGTCACCTCCCCGCTGGCACCTCGCGGGGTGCAGGGTGCCACTGGCTGCTCACCCTGCGCCTGGCACACGGGGACCCGCGGCCTGGCAAGCGCAGCCCCTCGCGGGGGTGCTCGTGGCGGATGAAGGGGGGGTTCGGTGCCGCCGGGGCACCCCGACGTTCTGCTCGTTGCCCCACTGGCCTGGCTGCTCTTGTCCCCTGGATCCCGGCCCGCATCCTCCTCCCTCCGCCTTGGTCCGGCTCTGCCTGTTGAGAACAATTCTGCTGCAGGCTGGTGCCAGGACAGGCTCTTGCTTCTCGCTTTTTGCTGCTGTGTATCAAAAATGATCAGCTACAGCTGTAGGACAGATCCTCAGCGTGGTCCTTTCTCCCTGGCCGTGCCAGGGTAGCTGCGGGGCTGGAGGGGAGGGTATTTTTGCGGAGCTCAGAGGGGCAGCATCTGTCACCATGGTGCGACTGAGGTGCCGGCCCGGGCAAAGCAAGGAGGTTTTCTGTGCTTACGGCGTGGAGGATCGCCTTGTCCCGCATCGCCGGCCAAGCTGGGACCGAATTATCTGCGAGACCATCTCAGCCCAGCGCCCCGCGGAGCCCCGAGGTCCCCGTCCAGCGTTCACGGGTTGTGGCTGACCCGGTGCTCCCCCGGCGAGCTGGGGAGCGGCCGAGGGGTGAGCTGGGCACGCTAGCAGGGATGCTCTTTTGTCCAGCTGTGATTTCAGACTAAAATCCGTTAGTGCCTCGCCAGGAAGCTGTACATCGTGCAATTTTCGCTCCCCCCAGCGGTTACTGCTCATAAAAGATAATGGCTTCCTGTGGCTGAGCGGCCCCTGCAACTTGATCCCCTTCCTGCCCCTCTTTATTTCAACTGCAAAGTCAAACGTTCGGTCTTCCTCTGACTCCTTGAATTTGAACCCAAGGTTCAGCCCCTTCCTTCCCTCTGCCCAGACTTCCAGGCTATTCAGTGCTTGTTTGATCCACTTCAATGATGCATTAACACATGTGCTTTGCACACTGCAGACTTGGAAATGTTTGCTGCCAGCCAAGTTCCCTGAATTTGCTAAATCAGCAAAAACCGGGATGGTTTTTCAGGCCCTGGTTTCTAGCAAGAGGCTGGTCCCGGCCGGCTGGGGAGGGAGGGTGGTGATGTGTTAGAGCCCTGTCGCTGCTCTGCAATAGCTCCCGGAGTTTGTGAAAACCGGTGCGTGCTCCCATCTCGGCCTGGGAGCAAAGCTGCAACCGTTAGATTCCCCTCACCTTTTTAAGCTTGCAATGTGGCCTCATCTCTTCCCGCTCAGAGCAGCGGGAGGAAGCAGCCCCTGTTCCCTGCTCTCTGGCAGAAGCTGCCGAGATGGTGTCTGACAGCTCGGGGCGCGGAGCGGGGGCAGCAGGAGCTGCAGTTCCCCAGCCCGGGAGCTCTGGTCACCCTGTGCCAGCTTGGGGCCAGGCACTCGCCCTCTTGCCAGCTGACAGGGTGCCTGCTGCAGCGTTTTGAGGGGGTTTTGGCTCAGTTTTTACCTCTCCACCCTCGGGGTGGTGCGTTGCTTCACTCGTGCTGAGTGTGAGATCCTGCTCGCTGTGGGGTGGCTCCACTGAAGCTTTTTCCGGGCGTGAGGGAGGTGTTAATGTTTGGGTCTGGGCGCAGAGGGAAGTCGAGGCTGAGGATGATGCACTTCGTCAGCACCCGCTGTCTGCAGGGGGGGAACCGAGGAGGCAGGGTGCTGGAGGCCAGGGAGCACCAGTCCCGTAGATGCCAGCGCAAGGCTGCCTGCTGCGTCTGGCCCCAGGAAGCTGCAAATCTGGGAGGTGAAAAAGGGCATAGGGTGATTTTTTTTTTTTTTTTTTTTTTCTTATTGCTGTCCCTGTACTCTGGCCTGTAGCTGGATCTGCAGAGCTAGTGACGGTGTCTGGATCTGCTCAATAGTTAGCAAGGGATCTGTACTGCACGTATCTGCTTTCAAGCCTGGTGTTTCTAACCCAGTTGAACCATGAGACTGCATCCCCAGCGTGCTGGGTGTTCAGAAATGCTCATGCTTGGCATCTTTGTTTTTTCCAGAAACGTTCCCTGAAGCAGCAGGCATGATCGCATCCTCGGGGTGGGGTAGGCAGCTCCCCGGGTCGAAGGCAGGAGAGGTGCTGATCATCCTTCCCTCCCGTGTCCCTGCAGGGTGCCCGGGTGTGGATCCCTGACTGTGTTGAAGTCTGGAGGGTGGCAGAAATAACCAGAACCTACCAGGAAGGAGATGCCATTCTCCACCTCCGCCTGGAAGATGGCTCGGTAAGGCTGAGCTGTGCGGCCCAGCAGGTCCCTCCTGTGCTTGCCATCTGGCTGAGCATCCCCAGATGGGAGGTTGTTCACCTCTGCACCCCCCAAACCAGCCTGGGCTCCTCAGCAGGGTGTGGAGAGGCTCAATCTTTGCCCAGACCTGTCCTGTCTGGTGTCTGAGCAGGAGCCCAGACCGCTGTGGCTGTGTTTGGCTCGGTGTGCCCTGGGAGCTGGTCCTTACTGCCTGCTCCTGCCCGGCTTCCCCAAAGGCCTTCAGCTCGCTGTGCTGGCTGAGCTGTGACTCCTGGTGACTAACGGGTCAAGCACGGCCCTGCAGACAGCATCCTCCCGGCGGTGCTGCTCCCCCAACCCCCCCCCAGACCCATCCTGCCTTTGTGGGTCCGGCCGACCCTGCTCAGCACCTTGTCCTGCTCCGTCCCCATCCCCGCAGGTGCTGGCCTACCCCACCGAGTTCCAGCTGCCGCCTCTCTGCAACCCCGACTGCCTCTCGGGTGCCAACGACCTGGTGGCCCTGAGCTACCTGCACGAGCCGGCTGTGCTGTACTCGCTCCGCCGACGCTTCCTGGAGGCCAACACCATCTACACCTACTGCGGTGAGCCCCCCGCGCCCCCTCCTGCTCCCCGTCCTGTGCCCCTTCCCCGCAGCCCCCCCGGGGGCAGGTGCCCCCCCTGCCCTTTGCACAGCCCTCTTCCTCCAGGTATCATCCTTGTCGCTATCAACCCCTACAAGCCGTTGCCCATCTATGAGGAGGAGGTGATTTACGCCTACAGCGGCCGCGAGATGGGGGACATGGATCCCCACATCTTTGCTTTGGCAGAGGAGGCGTACAGGCAGATGGTGAGGTGAGAGCGTGACGTGGGAGCACCCCTGGGGCTGCAGCGGGGAAGGGCTGAAGCTCCCTCTGGACTGTGACACGTCTGTGGAGAGCGGTCCCGCTGGGTCACAGGCTGTCCCCAGCTCACCTCCCCCTCTGGCAGGTTTGAGAAGAACCAGTCCCTCATCATCAGTGGTGAATCGGGCGCGGGGAAGACTGCCTCGGCCAAGTATGCCATGAGATACTTTACCGCTGTCGGGGGCTGTCTGTGCAGCTCCAGCATGGAGGAGAAGGTGCTGGCCTCCAGCCCCGTCATGGAGGTGGGTCCCCCCGGGTCCCCCCGGCTTTGCACGGGGACAGCCGGGGTGTCCCTGCAGGCTCTCCCTGTGCTCCTCACAGCCTGTGTCCCCGATGTGATGCCGTGCCTGCTCCCTCCCTGTAAACTGGGTGTCAGGGACTGAACTTCTCCAAAGTACCCGGAGATCTGGGGCCGGCTAAAGCCTCCTGCCTTCCTTCCCTCCCAGGCTTTTGGGAACGCAAAGACAACCAGGAATGACAACAGTAGCCGCTTTGGGAAGTACATCGAGGTCAGCTTCAGCCAAGCGCATGTCACAGGGGCCACCATCAAAACCTACCTGCTGGAGAAGTCCCGTGTCACCTTCCAGGTGGGTCCCTGGGGTGGCACGGGGACAGAGCTGAGTGGGAGGCCCAGCGCTTGGGGTGGGAGGGTGCTTCTCCTGGGCATCCCCTGCGGAAGCAACCCCGGTGCTGCTGAGTTGAGCTGAGAGAGGGGAAGGTGTCCCTTGTCCCCAAATCCGGGGCCGCAGCACTGCTGCGGGGAGGGGGGAGCAGGGTGGCCCAAGGTGACCTGTCTTCTCACTGATTTTTCTTGCTCATCCACAGGCAAAAATGGAGAGGAACTACCACGTCTTCTACCAGCTCTGTGCCTCAGCCGCTCTGCCTGAGCTCCAGGGCCTGGGTCTCCGTGAGTGCCCCCACGAGCCCCCTGGTGCAGCTTGCTGCTGGACCTTCCTGCACCCCCCCCCAGCCGCTGGGCACCCTGCGGTGGGGTAGGGGTGGTTGGCAGCCCCGTGGGGCAGGTTAGGCTGGTTCACAGCCTGCCCCATCTTGCCCACAGGTGGGGCAGAGTCCTTCCACTACACCCGCCAGGGCCGGTGCAGCGCTGCCCAGAGCACGGATGATGCAGCCAGCTTGGACAGCATGCGGCACGCCTTCTCGCTCCTGGGTACTGACCGGGGCAGCCAGGGCTGCTCGTCCCACTCGCCTCACCCCAAGGCTGGTGTAGGAGTGCTGGTGCCAGAGCTGGGGAGCCCAGTTATCTCCTGGCCGTTCCCATCCCTCTGACCTGCCTGATGCGGGGGGCTCGGACCAGCTTGAGGAGTCCCTCATGCCTGTGCTGTGCCCGCAGGTGTCCCTGAGGCTGAGCAGCTGGAGCTCTTCACCATCCTGGCTGCCATCCTGCACCTGGGCAACATCGTGGTCAGAGGGAGGGACTGCCACGGGGACGGCTGCTTCGTGGAGGTGGGTGAGGGCTTGCTGCCTGCATGCCAAGCCCCAAAGTGGCCCCTGGGCCGTGCTGGCTGCTGGAGAACCGCGGTGACAGGGTCTGTCCCTTTGCAGTCTGACGATGAGGCCCTAGGGCTGTTCTGTGCTCTGCTGGGCACCGAGGCATCGCAGGTGATGCGCTGGCTCTGCCACCACAAGCTGGTCACTGCTGGGGAGACCTACCTGAAGCCCCTCTCCAGGCTGCAGGCACTCGACTCCCGGGATGCCCTGGCCAAGCATATGTATGGGCAGGTCTTCAAGTGGATGGTGACCAGGGTCAACCGTGCGCTGCGGTCACTGGAGGGCCACAGTACCTCCATTGGCATCCTGGACATTTATGGGTAAGAGCAGGTCCCCTCTCCTGGGCTGCCTGGAAGAGCATGGTCCTGCTCCTGCATCAGCTGTGGGTCTGCAGCCACCAACGGCTCCAGCTGGGACATGGGGCGCTACCTGTCCCTGCGGTGGGGCCAGTTGGGTGCCTGTGCTGGGAGCTCGTGGTTGGCTGAGGTGGCTCTGCCTGGCAGCTGCCTCAGGCAGGTCTCTGCTGCTCGCAGGTTTGAGATGTTTGAGCTCAACAGCTTTGAGCAGTTCTGCATCAACTATGCCAATGAGAAGCTGCAGCAGCTCTTCAACCTGGTGGGTATCATCCAGATGTGTTCCCTTGCTGGGGGCTAGCGAGGGTGGGCCCTGCACGTCCCCACTGCGCTCTTGCTTTTGGTGTTCTCTGCCTTGGATGTGACTGGTGCTTCAGTCCCTGCAAACACGGGGCTCTAGGAGGCTGCTGGAGCTGGACACTGTCCCCTCCTTTCTCCCAAAGTGCTCCTGCTCTACGAGAAGGGTGGCTCAGGCGTCTTAAGCAAAGCAAGCCACTGCCTGCAGCCTGCCTGGTGATTTTTGTCCCCTCTTGGCTCAGTCCTGCTCTGCTCTCCGTGCCCTCTAGCACGTCTTCAAGCTGGAGCAGGAGGAGTATGTGACCGAGGAGATTCCGTGGGTTTTCATTGACTTCTGTGACAACCAGCCATGTATTGAGCTCATTGAGGGCCGGCTTGGCATCCTGGACCTGCTGAATGAGGAGTGCAAGGTGGGCAAGGGGTGCCGGGAGCAGGCTGCTGTGGCTACTCAGAGCCCCACCGCTGCCCCTTCTGACCCATTTGCCTTTCAGATGCCCCAAGGCAGTGATTCGAGCTGGGCCCAGAAGCTTTACCAGACCCATCTCAGCAGCTCCCACTTCCAGAAGCCCAAGAGGCCAACAGATGCTTTTGTTGTCTGCCACTTCGCTGGCAAGGTAGGGAAAGCTGTGGCAGCACAGCCCCGAGCGGGGAGGGCTCGGCAGTGGCTCCGCACCCAGGGGCACCCAACCTGCCCTGTCCAGGGCTGGTGGTGGCAGCTCCTGCAGTGTCCCACTGCCCCGAGTGTCTGTGGCAGCTCTCTGCACCCTCCCAGGCTGGGAAGCGGATCCTACTGGCTAAGTGCTGGGCTGCAGCTCTTTAACTGAGGGTAAAAATAGAGAAGCTCTGGCTGTCATGGTTCCCATCAGTAGCCTTGCAGCAGGGCAGGAGCTAGGTAGTGTGGCCACCACCAGCTCTGACTCCTGCAAGGATTCTTCCAAAAAACCTTGGACCGTGTCCAGACAGAACCCTGCACCAGATCAGTCTGTGAATCTGCAGGCTAATGCTGGTGCTTGCCATGTCTCCTGCCAGGTGGAATACCAATGTGCTGGGTTTGTGGAGAAGAACAGGGATGCTGTCCCCGAGGAGCTGGTGGGGCTGCTGCGAGCCAGCAAGGTGAGCAGGAGCTGCGTAGGGCAGAGCCTGGCTGGCTTGTGGCCCTGGGCCTGGGAAGGATGGGTTGAAGTTGTGCAGGGTAAATCCCTGTCTGCCTGCTGGCACAGCCCCATGCAGGGCTGGCCATGGTCAGGGTGCCCTGAGGTGTGGGTGCTCCCCACCACATTCCCCTGCCTTGGGCTTCCCCATCTTGCGGGAGACCTTGGCCGTGTCCCTGCTGAGAGGGCTGGAGTGTCCTGCTGCTTCCAGGTCTGTAACAGTGTCCCTTCTCCCTTCCACCCTGTGTGTGGCCCTGGCAGAAGGTAAGGGACGTCTTACAGGCTCTTGAGCACACCTGGGAAAGGTGCCTGTGGCTTGCTCTTAATTTTTCTAGGGGCACAGTTGGACCTGGCACATCTGGGCTGTAGCAGGGTGGAGGCTCGTGCACTGGGCTGGCTTCTGGAGCCTGTGGTCCCCTGTGGCTGTGTCTCCTGGTGGTGATGGCTCTCTGGGTACTGGGTGACGTTCGCTGCGAGGTCTGCCGGGCTCTCACAGCTCCGCTCTGCGCAGTGTGCTCTGCTCACTGAGCTCTTGCTGGAGGAAGGGGGTGGCCCCGTGTCCCTGCAGTCCCGCAGGTCCAGCGGGCCCAGGACAGCCGGTCGCCCCGGCCGCAGATCCCTGCCCAGTAGCCAGAAGAGCAAGAAGTCCATCTCCAGCCAGGTATGTGGCAGGGGCGGGAAATGCGTGCTGGTCCTGGACAGCTGGGATAGCCCCAAGGGGGGACCCACGTGTGTCCTGGTCCTGGGAAGCCCACAAGCCACGGGATGCTGGCCCTGACCACGCTCGCCTTGTCCTCTGCAGTTCAAAGCTTCCCTGAACCGGCTGATGGAGATGCTGGGCAGCACCACCCCGCACTACGTCCGCTGCATCAAACCCAACGATGAAAAGCAGCCCTTCGTGTGAGTGCCTGGCCAGGGAGGCTGGAGGGGATGGGGACGCTGCGGGACACTGCTGTCCCTCCAGTCTGCATCCCTCTTGCTGTGGCCCTGCATAGCTTGGAGCATGCCAGGCTGGCGGGGAGCCGTTCTAGATCAGCCCGTCTTTGCCCCAGGTTTGACTCCAGGAGAGCAGTGGAGCAGCTACGAGCCTGTGGGGTCCTGGAGACCATCCGGATCAGTGCCTCGGGCTACCCCTCCAGGTACCCTCCTGCTTCAGCAGCACCCTGGGTACTCCCCCCTCTTCAGCCACAGCACCTCTGACCCTGCTCTGTCCCCCACAGATGGACATACCAGGAGTTCCTGGAGAGGTACAGGGCTCTGGTGAACAGAGAGGAGCTGATGGCTGCTGATGAGAAGCAGATCTGCAGCCTTTTCCTTGAGAGACTGCTCCAAGTAAGGGTCCTGCTTGGGAGGTGCAGCTGCGGCGTACCCGAGCGTCCCTTGCGGGCGCTTCTCCCCATGTGCGGGTGCCCAGTGGGGTACAGAAATGGGTGAGCGAGGAGATGAGGAGGGACTCTGCTTCCAGGGAGGTTGGATGGGGAGATCAGAGGCGTGAGGAGCAGCACTCCTGGGGGGGCCTGGCTGGGGTATGTTCCGTCCCTGGGACCGACTCCACTCTTGCACGCAGGACCCCAGCAAGTACCAGTGTGGGAAGAGCAAGGTGTTTTTCCGGGCTGGCCAAGTGGCTCACCTGGAGGAGCTGCGGTGCCAGCGGCTGAGGGCAGCCTGCACCCTGCTGCAGAAGCACCTGCGGGGCTGGCTGGCACGGAGGCGCTTCGGACGGGCCCGGGCTGCGGCGATCTGCCTGCAGCGCTGTGCCCGGGGCGTGCTGGCCCGCAGGTGAGCTTGGAGGGAGCTGCAAGGAGCCGGGGCAGAGCTCAGCTGTGGTGAGCTGGCACTTACACCGGCTCTGGGCTGCTGGCTTTGCCACCCCCTGCCCAGCGCTCCGTCCTCCTTGCAGGTTCGTCAGGATGCTGCGACAGAGCAGGGCTGCTGTGACGCTGCAGAAGAACCTGAGGATGTTTCTGGCCCGGCGTTCCTACCTGCGCGTCCGCCGGGCTGTCATCACCATCCAAGCCTTTGCCCGGGGCATGTTTGCCCGGCGTCTTTATAAACAGGTGGGAGCCCAGCGGGGCCGTGGGTGTCCCAGTCCCACCTGGGGGGGGGGGGGGGGGGCGGGGGGGCCTGTGCTGCCACTGGTGCCACTTCTTCATCTTTCCCTCCACAGATGGTGCGGCACCAGAAAGCTGTGGTGATCCAGGCTGCTGTCAGGGGCTGGCTGGCCCGGACCCGCTACACCCGCCTGCGTGGGGCCGTCATCTACCTGCAGTGCTGCTACCGCAGGGTGCGGGCACGCCGGGAGCTGCGGCTGCTGCGCGTCGAGGCACGCTCCGTCGAGCACTACAAGCAGCTGCACAAGGGCATGGAGATCAAGGTGATACAGCTGCAGTGCAGGCTGGATGAGCAGGTGGGTGCTGGCTTCAGCCCTCTGTGGGTCCCAGGGCACGGGGACAGCTGTTTTTTAATGCAGGCTTCTTACCAGTCCCTGTGCAGCCAAAACTATGTGTGCCTTTGTCTTCCGTCCTCTCCCGGCCCTGGGGCAGGAGCTGACCCTGACTTGTGTCCCTGGGTGGGAGTTGTGCATCGGAATCTCATTCCTGGGTTTTCAGTGCTCCGTATGGATGTGGGGCTGGTGGCCATGGGGATGGTTTGGGCATCTTCCCGGGCACCTGGCTGGGTGCAGCCTTGCAGGACAGTGTCACGTGCTGGGAACAGTTGTGGCATGGTGTGTTCTCCCACCGTGTTCCCGCCGGCAGCACCTGCTGTCACCATCTGGGTGAGTCTCTGCTCTGGCTGTCACCGTTCCCGTTCTGGGGGCGTCTGTGGAGGGGGTGGGAGGGCTCCTGTGGTATAATCCTGTCTCTGGGGGAGGCAGAGCTGGAAAATTCTGCTGTCGAGGCTGGCCTGGGCTGCAAATCCATGTTTAGTAACATGTAAACCACGTTTAATAATGGGCTGTAAAGCCATGGTGAAGCTCACGTGCAGCTCCGTGTGGGATGGTGTGTCATGGAGAGCTGCTCACCCAGGCCTGAGCTCTCTTTGAGGTGATACTGGAGGGCTCAGGGCTTCAACTAGATGGATGGGTGGGAAATGGGCTGTCCAGGTTGAGTGCAGAAGGGCAGCCTGAGTGTACCTGGTGCTCGCTGATGGGAGACGCACGGGGACATGCCCTTGTTCCTGGTCATCTGCCTGACGGGCTCTGCCTGCCCCAAGGCCCAGGAGAAGCAGTGTCTGGCGGAGCAGCTCTCGGGACTGAACGCTGCCCACGCTGAGGAGGTGCAGCGCCTGCGGGCTGAGATGCAGCGGCTGCAGGAGGATGTGCGCCGTGACGCCGGGGTCCAGCAGCTGCAGGAGCAGCTGGCCGAGCTGGAGAGCGTGAAGAGCTGCCTGAGCCAGGAGGTTGAGGATCTCAGGCAGGTCTGTCTGTCCGGGGGGGGGGGATGCTCTTGCTCTGCTGGGGCTCTCCAGGGCACGCTGTGCTTCCTGCCATGGGGTGGTCCCTGGAGGAGACCTCTGGCAGCCAGGACTGGCCCCGGGCAGGGCTCTGGCTGTATCTGCCCCTCTGCTTTTCCTGCAGCGCTTGGCAGAGGTGAAAGCTGTGAAGCTGCAGCTGGGAGAGGAGAGGGATGCCCTGATCCAGCGCACGTTGGAGCAGTCACAGGACCTGGAAGGTAAAAAGGGGTCCTCTGAGCCTCTCATCCTTTTCCCCTGGATGTGGACTGGTCCTGCAGGCTCGATGTGTTCCTGCATGTCCCCTCGCGGAAGGGTCCTGTCTCTGCCTGTCCCCACTCCGTGCTGTGCCTGTCCCCACAGAGCAGCGCCAGCGTGCAGCGCGGGAGAGCCGAGGGCTGCTGCAGGAGCTGGAGGAGGAGCGGGCGCGCTACCAGAGCCTGGTGCAGGAGTACGCCCGCCTGGAGCAGGGCTACGAGAACCTGAAGGATGAAGTGGCCTTGCAGAGGGTGAGGGGCCGGCAGGGACACGGGGAGGTTCAGGGCAGCCCCTCCCTTGGCTCCCTGTGGAGAATAGGCAGCGCTGGCTGGTCCAGGGCACCTTCTGTGGGAGAAGTGGGCTGCCCAGATCATGCTGGGGGATACCAAAGCCAAGGTATCCCCCTGAGGCTGTTCTGCCCCAGCTGATGTGGCAGCAGGGTGCAGGAGAACAACCTTGTCCTCCTCTCCCCACTCAGCAAAGCACCTTGAGACGGTCCCCTTCGTCGGAGAGCTTCTTGGGCTCTGAGAGCAGCTACTTATCCTCCGTGTCCACAGCTCCCTCACGAGATGGCTCCGAGCAGCAAGCTGAGGCTAGTAGTGACCCTGGTGGGGACAGGGGGGTGACAAGTGACCTGTCCCTTCCCCTGGCTGTGGGGACAGCTGTGCCCTGGGGCTCCTGGCTGGGGGCTGGCCCACTGGGGAGGGGTGTCTGCAGGTGTGCCGGTGCCCAAACCCCAGCTCTGCACCCAGGGGCCGGAGGAGCGCTGGCAGCCAGTGCCGGAGGGGCCCCAGCCTGCCAGCGAGGTGCTGCAGAAAAACCGGGCAGGCCAGGATCCCTTCGAGAAGGCGTACTTGCTCCTCCTGGGGCAGCTCAACGCCGTCAACAAGGAGCTGGCCCGGACCCGGGAGGAGCTGCGGAGGTCCAAGGCTGCTGTGGAGCCAGAGGAGAGGAAACCGTTGGACTTCTTCAAGCCCAGGGTGAGCCCCTGCCCCGCTGCTGTGAGCAGGGCCGGGGCCGGGCTGGCCTCACCCTGCTTTCCTCTCCCTGCAGAACATAGCTGAGATGCTGGGGCTGGGCAGGAGCCCGGAGAAGGTGACAGTAGGTGATGACTTGAAGCACGCATACGACACGGTGCAGGTTGCTAATAGGTGAGTGTGGTCCCAGGGAGATGGCCCCCAGCTGAGGTTGGTTTTCTCACAATGGGCTGCTGGATCCATGCTGCCCGTGGGGCTTTCCTCGGTGTTTTAGTCAGCCACAGCTTGGGTTGCAGCTGCCTGGCCTCTGTGGTGCTGGGCAGCTGCAGATTCTCTCTGAAGGAGCTGCTTCCTCACATTCTTTGAGCACTGTAGCCCCAGCTGGGCTGGAAGATCAAGGGCAGCCTGCCCCTTGCTGCCCAGCTGGGTGTGGGGTAGCCCTGGCTCCCCTTCCCTTCTTTCTAGCGCATCCAGCTGTCCTTTCCTGGGGGTTGGAGCAATCCCGCCTTGCTCTGAGCACGGGCACACTCACTGCGTGAGCAGACTGGATGCCCTGGGCTCAGCAGGAGCCTCCTGAGAGGGCAGGGCTGGTGCAGCCTGTTTCTGGATGTGCCGTGTGTGCTCAAGGCTCAGTGCAGCCGGAGGGGAGATGATCTGCTAGTGCAACCGGGTCCATGCTGCCCTCAGGGTGCTGGGGGGGGAAGTTCCTAGCTCTGACACTTCAGGGGAGAAATATCTCTTCAGCAGCCTCCCCAAGGGATGGGGTGTGAGAGCTGAAGGAGGCTGGTGCCTCAGTTTCCCTGGGTGCATGTGTGCAGGCTTCTGGCGAGTCAGCTGCGGGAGGAGAAGCAGCAGCATGAGGAGGAGGTAGAAGGGCTGCACCTCAACATCTGCTCACTCAAGCAGCTGAGCCAGCAGCAAGCGGCCCTCATCAAGGACCTACAGCAGCACCAGGGGCAGGAGGGGCTGCAGCACCATGTCCTGCAGCTCAAGGAAGAGAACTGGGTAAGGGGGGGGGGTAGGGGGGGAGGGCAGGACTGGGCTTGGGGTTGGCTTCCGCTCCCTTGCCCTGCGGTGAGCTGCAGCAGCCCCTTAGGGAGCAATGTGGGGGATCCTGCTGCATTCCCCCAGCTCTGCCCCACTCAGTGGGTGCTGGAGGGGGTGCCCAGCTGAGGGAGGCTGGCTGAGCCCTACCAGGGCTGTCCCTGTCCAGGAGCTGGCCCAGAAGCTGGAGAAGCAGGAGAGGACCACGCTGAAGCTCCAGAAGCAGCTGAGAGCCTATGCAAAGCAGATCCAGGAGCTCACAGGCAAGTGCCCGCGTGGGAGGGAGGCACGGGGCTGGCCGGAGGGTCACCAGCCTGGTTTGAGGCTGAAGCACCACCCAGCCTCAGCGTGGGGAGAGGAGTCCTCTGTGTGTGCGTGTGCCCAAGATGCTGGGGAGCAGCTGCTTGAACTGAGCTGAGGGGACCTGTTTGGTGTCCCACAGCCCAGGACACAGCAGGATGTAACCCGTGCTCCTCTCCCCCAGTGCAGAGAGAGGCTACCGGGCCAGCGCAGGAGCTGGCAGCATCCGCTGCGGTCCTGTGCCAGACCCCCACGGTCCCATCCCTGGCTGGGCTGTCCCAGGCCATGCTAGCATGGAGGATGGGGGACGAAGGGCGCATTGTCAAGGCCATCATCACAGGTAGGGTTTTGGAGAGAAGGTGACCCCTTACCCCAGCTTGGTCCCTGCTCGGTTTTCTTGCCAACCTCTGTGTGAGCTCATCCTTTTTGCGGTGCTGGGGCAGCATCCTGCCTGGCTCAGGACCAGCTTTCTATAGCTGCCTGGATCCCAGCTGTCCTGCTTTCCCCTGCAGACTACAAACCACAGAGCAGCCCCGGGGCTCTCCCGGACCTGCCAGCTTACATCCTCTTCCTGTGCTTCCGGCACGCAGACCACTGCTGTGACGAGCCACGGGCCCGCTCGCTCCTGGATGCAGCCACTGATGCCATCAAAAGGGTCATGAAGGTGCGGGGCTTGGGGGGGTGGGTTGGGCTGAGGAGCAGGCGGGGGTGGCACTGGGAGGGGGGGGGCAGCTTGGCCCCCAGGATGCAGCGTGTGCTGGACTGCAGTGCCCAGGCTGAGCATCTCCTGGGGTGAGGGGTGCCCCTGGGTGCCGCAGGGCTCCTGCGTGAGGGTCCGGCAGCTCCGCACCCCCATAGCCCCAGCCGGGCTGCAGCCAGCTCTGTGCCGCTCGTGGAGCTGCCGTGGCACACGAGGGCTTGCTGCTGTAACCGCCGGAGCCCTGCTGAGCCCAGAGCTCTCCGTGTCCTCCTGCAGAAGCACGGTGATGACTCCGACACGGTGGCACTCTGGCTCGCCAACACTTGCCGGCTCCTGAACTGCCTGCGCCAGTACAGCCAGGATGAGGTAGGACTGGGCTGTAGGGCGCCTGCCACCTCCCTGGGGAGGGGGGGAGCTTGGTGGGGACAGGGTTTGCCCCCACCTGGGGCTGCATCCTCTTTGCCCCCACCTGGGGCTGCATCCTCTTTGCCCCCACCTGGGGCTGCATCCTCTTTGCCCCCACCTGGGGCTGCATCCTCTTTGCCCCCACCTGGGGCTGCATCCTCTTTGCCCCCACCTGGGGCTGCATCCTCTTTGCCCCCACCTGGGGCTGCATCCTCTTTGCCCCCACCTGGGGCTGCATCCTCTTTGCCCCCACCTGGGGCTGCATCCTCTTTGCCCCCACCTGGGGCTGCATCCTCTTTGCCCCCACCTGGGGCTGCATCCTCTTTGCCCCCACCTGGGGCTGCATCCTCTTTGCCCCCACCTGGGGCTGCATCCTCTTTGCCCCCACCTGGGGCTGCATCCTCTTTGCCCCCACCTTAGGTAGGCGGGGATGTGCTGGGCCGACGCAGCTCTGTGCTTGCTTGGGGCCCCAGCTGTGTCCCCCAGGACTGCTGGCTCTCACCTAGCCCGTGCCCGCAGAGCTACTGCCAGGGGAACACAGCGTGTCAGAACGAGCATCGCCTGCACAACGTGGACCCCCAGAGCTCCTGCCGCAGCCTGGGTGCTCTGGCTGTCCAGCTCTACCAGCAGTTCATCCGCACCGCTGAGAAGCGCCTCAAACCCGTGATTGGTATGGCCGGGGCTGGGCGGGCTTGGTTCAGGGAGGGAGCGCTGTGCTCAGCTCTGAACTGCCTGCTCTGTTACAGAGGCTGTGCCCAGAGCGGGGAGGGTAGGCTCTGAACTGGGGGGCCCCCTTCTGTAGGGGACCATCTTCCCCTTGAGCATCCTGGCTTGGAGGAGGTGGCTGGGGAGCTAAAGTGGTCTCGGCATCCATGGGGATCTCGGGCTGCATCCACAGGGAGCTCTGTTCTCCCGTGTGCCCCTTCAGCCTCATGGAGCAGAGCCGGCCCCTGGGCCAGCTCTTCTCGAGGTGCCACTGGCTGCTGCATCCCCAGCTGGGACACTGAGACAAGGAGCAGGGCGCTGCTTGCCTGAGGCATAGCGCAGCATCGCTGCCTCGTTAACGCTGAGCCTTTTCTACCCTCCAGTCGCTGCGATGCTGGAGAGCGAGCCCATACAGGGCTTGTCGTTGTCCTGCCCTCCTGGCCACCGCCGGTCCTCAGCAGCCTCTGCCCACACCCTGCCTGAGCTGCTGCAGCACTTGGGCTCCTTCCGTGCAGCCCTGGACCGCCACGGGCTGGCCCCCAGCGTGGGGCACCAGGCCCTGCGCCAGCTCCTCTTCCTCGTCAGCGGCACCACCCTCAACTACCTGCTGCTGAGAAAGGACACGTGTTCCTGGAGCTGCGGCATCCAGCTCAGGTCAGTTCCCCATGCAGGATGGCTGTATCTGGGGGGCTGGGGTACGGCCTGTGTCTCCCCCTGACCTGGTCTCCCTGGCAGGTACAACATCAGCCAGCTGGAGCAGTGGCTGCGGGCAGAGGGGCTGCACCAGAGTGGGGCCCGCGAGGTGCTGGAGCCCCTGGTCCAGGCTTCCCAGCTGCTGCAGGTGAAGAAGGTGACGGAGGAGGATGCTGGAGCTCTCTGCAGCCTGTGCACAGTGCTGTCTCCCCAGCAGGTACTGGGTGGGGGGGGAGCGGTGTTGGGGCTCGCTGCCTGCTGGGCACCCCTGCCCTGGCGCTCCAGGGATGCTCTGGGGTGGGGACCACGCCACACCCAGAGGTGTCAGGGCGTCCCCTGCCCTGTTCACCGTCCCCTGCCCTGTTCACCGTCCCCGTTATCTCCAGGTAGTGAAGATTCTCCGGGCTTACACCCCAGCAGTCGGGCTGGAGGAGCGCATCAGCCCCAGCTTCATTAGCAGAGTTGAGGTAAGCAGGACCAGTGCTGGGGGGGCTGTCCTCACTGGGGCAGCCCCCGATACGAGCACTGTGTCCCCACAGAAACAGCTGCAGGACCAGTATGGAGGGGGACCCAGCCAGCTCCTGGTGGACACCAGCCACCTCTTCCCTGTGCATCTGCCCTTCACTGCCTCCCCTGTACACCTGAATGAGCTTTGCATCCCTGATGCCCTTGACCTGACCTTCCTTGTCCGCCTCTGAGCCCAGGTCTGGCCCTGGGCAGCTGCCCGTGCCCCATCCAGGGGTGTCTGACCCCCCTGAGGTGTGGGAATGCCATTGAGGCTGGGGGTATAGCACTCTTTATGTGCGCTGTTCTTTTGGGAAGTTGTTTGCTTATTGAAATTCGGGTGCCTTGCTTGTGGCACAGCCAAGGGCCCGTGCCAATCCTGTGCTGGGGCTTTGGCCACTTTTTAATCCTCTGAGGTAAATAAAAGTCTTTGCAAATAACTTCAGGATCCAGTGATGTCAGGGGCGGGTGTGCTGTTTGCAGGGTGGTGGGAGGTAGCTCGAGGACTATTATTGGGGCATTCCTGGGGTTTTTAATGAATTATGGAATGGTTTGCATTGAAGACATTTTAATGATCACCTCGTTCCAACCCCCTGCACTGGGATGGGACATCTTTCAGCAGATGGCGGTGTTCAAAGCATCATCCAAGTTGACTTTGAATGCTTCTAATGATGGGGTCCCACAGGTTGTCTGGGCAGCCTGTTCCAGAGTCTCACCACCCTCACTGTAAGACATTTCCTCCTTAAATCTTATCTAAATCTAAAGCCCAATCTAAATCGACTCTTTCAGTTTGCCCCAGGAGGGCAGCTGGGCCCGTAGAGTGCCCTGGGGCAATTTGGGGGTGTAGCAGGATCCTGCATGGGCTCTGGCAAAACACTGAGTTATTCTATAGGCAATTAGGAAAAAATCTCTGGATCAGTGGCCCTTGCCCTTAAGGAAAATTTCAACTTCCTTGATATCAGCTGGGAAATACCATCCTGCTTCTATGAGCAGGTCTGAAACAGTCTTTAAGTTTGTGGGGGGGAAATAACTTCTTGTCACAAGTGCTCAGGGAGCCAGCTAGGAAAGATGTCCTCTGACTTGCTAGGTGGGAATGGAAAAGGTCTTGTGGGACACATGATGGTAGGTGCCGGTCTTGGCCAGAGTGATCACAAAATCATTGAGTTTAAAATCGTCAGTGGGATGAGAACAAAGGACAGCAGAGTTGCCTCCCTGGATTTTGAGAGAGCAAACGTTAGGCTCTTCAGGGAGGTACTTAGCAGAGTCCCCGGGGAATCTGCTGCTGGGGCTCAGGAGTCGGCGGGGGCTTTGAGAAGCACCTTTGAGGAGCTCAGGAGCCGGCAACTCCCCCGGGTCGGGCGGCAGAAGGCGGCTTGGCTGAGCGGGGAGCTGCTCGCCGAGCTGCAGAGGAACAAGGAATTGTACGATCTGTGGGAGCGAGGGCAGGCTTGGCAGGAAGGTGACGGAGCCGTGGCTCGCCCATGCAGGGAGAGGAGGGGAAAGGCTGAAGCCGAGTGGGGGTTGGAAATGGCTGGTGTTGTGTGTGACAAGAAGGGGGTTTTTTTTAAGTAGTTTCCCAGCAAGAGGAGGTCTGAAGGAAACATTAGGGTGGTCCTTGTTGGAGGTGGTCACCTGACAGACAGGGATGAAGCAGCAGTGAGTGATTCAATGCTTTTTTTTTTTTTGTCTCAGTATTATTAAAGACTGATAGATCTTGGGCTGCCCAGTTCTCCGAGTGACTTTCCATTAGTGGCCGGTGCAGTTGTCGGACCAGCTGTATCAGCTGAACGTTCAGAAGCCTTTGATATCATTTCCCCACAGCATTCTCCTGAAGAAACTGGTTGCTCAGGACTTGGACGTATGCATTCTTCCCCGGGTAATAAAGCTGGCTCGATGGCCAGGCCCAAAGAGTGGTGGTGAACGGGTCCTGCACTTGGGTCACAACAACCCTGTGCAACACTACAGGCTTGGAAAACTGTCCAGCAGAAAAGGTGCTGGGGGTGTTGGTTGACAGCCGGCTAAATATGAGCTGGCAACGTGCCTAGGTGGCCAAGGAAGCCAACAGCATCCTAGCTTGTATCGGAAATAACGGGGCCAGCAAGGATTAGGGGAGTGATCATCCCCCTTTGCTCAGCACTGGTGTGGCTGCACCTCAAATCCTGGGTTCAGTTTTGGGCCCCTTGTGACAAGAGAGATGTTGAGGTGCTGGAGCGTGTCCAAAGAAGAGCAACAAGGCTGGCGAAGGGTCTGGAGCACAAGTCTTCTGAGGGAACTGGGGTGGTTGAGTCTGGAGAAAAGGAGGCGCAGGGGAGACGTCATCACTCTCTACAACTACGTGAAAGGAGATTGTAGTGAGGTAGGGGTCTGTCTCCTTTACCAAGTAACAAGTGATAGAACAAGAGAAAGTGATCTCAAGTTGCGCCAGGGGAGGTTTAGATTGGATATTAGGAAAAATTTCTTCACTGAAAGGGTTGTCAAAGCATTGGAACAGGCTGCCCAGGGAACTGGAGCCACCATCCTTGGAGGTATTTAAAAGACGTGTAGATGCAGCACTTAAGGACGTGGGTTAGTGGGGGACTTGGCAGTGTTGGGTTTACTGTAAGACCTGATGATATTAAGGGTCTTTTCCAACCTAAATGATTCTGATTTTAAGTCCATGGGGTCTGATGGAATTCATCCCAGAGTATGGAAAGAGCTGGCAGATATTATAACATGACCCCCCTCAATCATTTACCAAAAATCTTGGAAGTCTGGGGAGGTGACTGCTGACTGGGAACTAGCCAATGTTACTTTAATTTACACGAAGGGCATGAGAACTCAGTGAAGAACGGAGAGATGTGTTGCCTGTAGTCAGTGTTACTTCTAGTGGCCCTGGCCGAACCACTTGCACACATCCATCTGCAGTACTTGTGAGTATCAGAGAACCAGTGAATGAAATCGGGTTTGCTTAAAATAAAATCACTTGTTCAGTATATCACACTGAGGTTTGCTGCACAGGCTCTGCAAGGGGAGGTGGGGGCTGCTCTGATAGTTTGCTGGGCTCTCTCAGACCACTCCTCTCCAAGGAGTACCGAGCAGGGGGCTGAAGGAACATGGACCTCAGCACAGGACCGAGTGCCCCGTGTTGTAAATTCACCCTGAAAATGGTGCTGCAGGCTGAGATCACAGCAGGAGTGGGCAGAGCCAAGCCGTATGGAAAGGGCACTGGATTGCTTGGCAAAGTTGCAGTGTCTAATATTAGCCACAGGTTGTACACTTTAGAAGCCCTTTCAAGAGGGACAGAGATCTGGGGACAGCTTTCCTGTCTGTAATCTGCAGTTCTGTGAGGTCTGTAACACAAATCCTGCCAGGCTGCACAGGGGAGACGAAATGCTTCTTGGCTACTTTGGTCTGTACTTAAAATAGGAGCAAAGCTGCTCCCGTGTGCCTCCCACAGAGCCTGGGGTTGCGGGGAGGGGGGTGCACAGCATCTGAGAGCGCTCCTGGTGTCTGCACCTCTCTCTTCTATTACACTCACAAAGATGTAACTTTGGCTCAAGCTACTGAACTTTGGCACCAGGCAATAAGCCACCTTCTCTGGATGCCTAAGGTTGGATAGATCCCTAAGGACAAACGAGTTGGACTGATAAATGGCAAGAAAAACGTGAGTGAAGCAGTGCAGTGGATGCCGTCACCAAAGTGGGTAAGTGGACTGCAACAAGCACCAGGAGGTGCTGTCTCAGCACGGTGCATCTGAGGCCCCTGACATTCGAAACATTAAGAGTTTAGAAACTAAATGGCACAGTAAGGGCAGACACCTATGTCAGAATACTGGAGTGGGGATGGCAGTGGGAAAGAGAAGTGGAGCTGTGTCAATGGGCCATCATCTGTCACCTGCGGGATTTAGGGCAGAGTCCAGGTAGCAGAGAGCTGCCGAGGCACAGATCGGGGGAGGGACCCAACATCCCTGAATGAAAAATCCTGTATCAGGCTTGAAACAAGTGAGGAAACTCAATGGCACCAGGACTTGAGGATGAGCTAAATTGGGAAAAAGGAAAGCAGACTAACAAAAATATCCATACAATGGTGGTAACAGAAAGCTGCGCAGTATATTCCCAAGGAATGGCGTGATAGTATTGGAATCTCTTGGGATGCTGCTGACCCTCAAAAGGGAGCTGTCATTCCAGGAAATTCACAGAAGACTCTGCTTTTACAAGAAGAGCCATTGGTGGATAGAGAAAGGAACCTAGAAGGTTTGCAAATGTATATAATCTCTTCCTAATCAAGACTTTATTTAGATCCCACTACCTATTCTGCATTTCAGGGTAACTGAGATGGCAGAGACCTGCTCAAAGGGCTCAGAGTGCATTATGTCTAGGTGGGTATACGAAAGAGTTTTTCTTGGTGTGTTCATGTTGTTTATACTTTGTGAGAATCTAAAAATAAGTTGAGAATCTAGGTATAAGTTGCTGAACCAAAGATTTTTTTTTTTTTTTTTTTTTTTTCAATGTAAGCACAACATATGCTATATATAAGTCATTGCTTCCAGTGCAGGACAGCACGGTGAACATCCAGGAACTGGTGAAACCAACTGCACTGTCAGAACAACCTGTGTGCTGTCATTTGTAAAGGTGCTGTAAGTAAAACAGCTCTTGTTGTAATGTGCAGGCTCTGGCCTTCAGAGAAACAGGATCCGAGACATTTATGTGTGCCGTGCCTTATATTGCATTATATTTTGTTGAACTGCAAATGAAGCTGGACTCCTTCTGGTATGCCTTAATCCTGTAAATTCCCATTACCCTGTTGACCCCAGCCAATGCTGAAGCTGTGCTGAGTCAGGTGCAGCTGCAGGCAGATGTGCAGGTGCCCGAGTGGAGCTGGAATTCATAGTCTCTAAAGAAGGGGTGGCCAGCAGACTTGGAACGGAGTTATCTGCTTTCTGTGAAGACACGTCAGGATTTATTTTGAATAATCTATCTTACTTAATGACATAAAGACTTTAAGACTTCTTAGACTGTTAGGGTGAGGACTGTTGGTGTGAGTCATGTCCCCAGTTTGGAACAAGAGCATTTCTAGAAGCAAGGGAGGTTTGGTGCAGTTAATAACGGTTGGGCCTCCTCTTGAGAAGCATAAATAAAGTGTTAGCCATAGTATCTATTCACTGCTACCCTCACTGCCTGACCATAACCACGTGCCTAACCATAATCTACAGGAATGTAGATTTCTGAGTTTGTCTGCTACTAACGACTCCTTCCAAATTCCCAACTTACTCTGCTTTGACAGAGACATGAAGTGGTAAACAGAAAGGCACGTTCAAAAGGACAGTCATGTTAGCAATAGGATCTTATCAGATTCCAGGTGTGAATAATTGCATGCTCTTCCCTGAACTATCTGTGCAGTTCCAGTTAGACACCATCTCACAGCATCCTCCCAAGATCTGAGGAACTGCATTATCTGCTGAAGACAGCCTCCCCCTTTCTTCATAAACAGGCTGTATTTCAGCAGTAGATGAACTAATCCCATGGATAGGCCGTGTCCTGGTCTTGAATTATAATGGCTTTGGGATCCTCAGGACTGAGAGGAACATGAGGAAGAGTGTAGGATGAGGTGTCATGAGAGAGTCAGGACTCCGAATTGAATCTAAATATGTAAGAATCCCACTATTTTCCACGCTATAACTGAGGTGAGGTTTGCTGGTGTGGAGGTGGGCTAGTAAGGCTGCAGACCCCAGCAGCTCTGACCAACACCCTGTGCCACATCACGTAGGAGCACTCGCCTCGCCACCAGCGACCCTGGTGCACACCCAGCTCTGTGCTTATCAGCATTCACTTCTGCTCGGAGTTTGGTGAGAACAGGTCGGGGTGGGTGTGCAGGGACTTTGGTTTCCACACGAGGGTGCTGTCCACACTGGCAAAGGCCACTCGGGTTTTCTGGTAGAGCATCGCACCAGAGAGATCGCGGCCAAAGTGACCACCAGGCCTGGTCGGAGCTTCGCCTGCACTTGTTGAACAGGATTTCAGAGGGCGACTCTTTCATAGACTATAACCAGAGGGCTTGTTTGACATCTGAACGCAACCTCGTCCTGCTCACAGTGGGCAGCCAGTGGATAAGTGATTACATTTTAAAAACCTGTTTTTCTTATACTAACCTGACAGGGGTTCAGCAGCCTCTGTTCTATAGTGATAAGAGATTTTTAACTACCTCAGATCCTAACTATTTCATGAAACAACCAGAAGCCTGAGAGTTAGAGACTGTGTGTCCATCTTCACGTTTCAGACCCCTTTGGATGCCCTGAGGTACATATCACCACAAGACTGGTAGCATTTACAGCTTCTAGGGAGCTACTCTACAGTGGGAACGCGAGGCAGTGTTCAGCACTCATAGTCACAGCTCAGAATTCACCGTGACTAAGATAACTGATGAGCCATGCTCGGGTCAGGGTTCCGCACCAAGACTTTGTGTTCCGAGTCGCTTTTCTGTGCGGAGCCTCGCAGGTTTGTGCTGTGGGTCTGTGTGCTGGTGCCTCTCTGGTGATTACACAGAACCGAGCCTCCTGAGAGGCAGGACTCGTATTATACCGCTGGACCAGAGAGTCACAGCTAACCCAAGAAAATAAAGACAGCCCCTTTGTTTTCTCCAATGATCTTGGATATTTTTGTTTCGCCTTCTACACACGCTGAAAGGAGCAGATTTTTGCTCAATCCTTTGGAAGTGAGTGGGAGCTTTTTATTGACACCAGTGGGCTTTGGATCAGACCCAGAAAAGCTGACACTATAGCTACAGACACTGCAGATCAAGTACTGGTTTCAGTGATGCCACATCATGAGCTACACAACAACTACATGCATGTAGGAGCACTGGGGTCTGCAGTATTAGCTCTTTCTTCTTGTTTTGACTGACATAATAGGTAGCATTTTAACCATTGTTTTTGCATATAAAGAGCAGCTGCACTTATTTTTTTTCCTTTTTTCTTCACTTGTGAAGAAAATTCTGGGTTCAACTAGACGCATTAATTGTTGGCAAAGGATGAAATGTGGAACTGCAGAAATGAGTTCCAGCATCATTCACTCGAGTGTTTAGAGGCTGTTCTACATCCTGCTTGATGCATGATGTTTGGAATTTGGAATAGAACTGTGCATGCATTAGTTCATCTATGGATTTAAAATGCATTTTTATACAAGTGATAGAGCAGGTGCTCGAGCTTGAACTTAGCAGATTTGTTGTAAAGGGCTTTAGGAGAGTAATGGAGGTAAAATGTTACAGGTAAAAGAAAGGGGGGGAGCACGCACCAGGACAGGAGCAGAAGCTGGTTCAGCGGGGCAGTTGGCAGGATGGCTGAAAGCTGTCTCTTCCGTCAAACTGCAGCAGGACCAAGGGTCTCATGAAGAAGATTCACCTTCTTTATCTTTTTACTTGCACTCACGACAGGTGCATATAAAATAACGGCTAGGCTAGCCCATTAGCATTTAATTTTCACTTTGGCAGCTGCAAGTGGCACTGTGCACGTGGCAGTATCCCCTCGCAGTGACCTATGACAGAAAATCGGGTCTTCGGTGACCTTGTTCTGCTGGGCCTCCACCTGTACTAGGGCTGCCCTGTCCTTTCTGTCACCTCACCCCTGTCCTAGCACGGCTGTCCCTTCCAGCCCGCCTCTTCACGGAGATGTTCGTACCCTCTAGGTGAACGGGCCAAGTTTTCCCCGCCTGCAGCAGCACGCCCGGGCCCTCCTGCGAGGCCCTGTCACCTCCCAGGCGCGCTGCTCCTGGCGAGGCTCTGACAGGGCGAAGCGCTCCAGGGTCCCCAGCAGCCCGGGGAACCCGGGCTCACGGCCCGCGGGCTCTGGGTGCCCCTCAGAGCCCTCCCGCCTGAGGGAGACCCCTCCCGAGGGAGATCCTGGGGGGCGGCCGGGCCCTCAGCCCCGGGCTCTCCCAGCCGCCGCGGCCGCCCCGAGGCCTGGGGGGGCCCGGGCAGGAAGGCGGCCGGCGCCGGGCGCGGAGCAGCGCAGGGCCGGGCCGGGCCCGCGGCCTCCGCCCCGCTCCGGGGGCCGGCCGCGGCGTGGGGCTCCGCGGCGGAGGGGAAGGCCGGAGGCGAGGCGGGCGGCGGGAGCTGGCGGGGCCGGGGGCTGCCCGCAAGGCCAGCGGGGGAGCGGGCGGTGCCCGAGAGCTGCGAGGACCTGGCTCCCGCCTGCCGAGGGGCGCCCGGGGGTGCGGAGGGGGCCGGGGGCGCTCCCGGCGGCTGCGGCTCTGGAGGAGAAAAGCCCCGCGCGGCTCTCCCGGAGGAGCTGCCGCGCCGCTGGTGCAGCGCAGCCGGGTCGTGGGGAATCGGGACAGAAATAAAGGGCCCTGTTGAGCTGCCTTGGCGGTGGGGAAGGTCAGAGCCGGCGGCGCTTTCCGAGAAGCCATTCTGCCCTCCTGGAGGTGGCTCCGGGTTGAGCCTTCAGTGCCTCACTCAACCCTTTGCGTGAAAAATTGATGAGGGAAGGTTGGTCTTGCCGGCAATGAAAACTGTTCCCACGGAAGAGGATGGCGAAGTAGCCCACGGGGCTGAAAGAGGATGTTTGTGATTATGATAATTTTTAAAAATGTTTGCGTAGTGTTCAAAATTAGTATATATTCGTCTTAGGTCAAAGTTCCCCAAAAAACCCAAACCAAATGCCTCATGGTGAATTCCACCTCTGGAATCGTTTAAAGCCGGATCGAATGGCAGGTGTTAGGAAGCACTGGCAGTTAAGACTGAAGTCGAATACCAGCATGGGTGGTGTGTTAGATTCAAATTAAGGAGATAAAGCAGAAAGTAGAGATTTCTTAGATTGATAGCAGCTTCCAGGCAGGAAGGACAGCAAATACACACAGTGAAAAGTGATTATTGCACCGACTTTCTGTTACAGTCCACCTAAATCCTCAGAAACTGAGTTTATTTTTGGAGTCTGGCACACAGGTAATTTGGAGAGACTTGGCTTCTCTGCTCACGCGTGGCAAAGAGTTCCTGTTGCCAACTCTATAGGCTATGCCTGAGGTGCCGATACTATAATTCAGCTCTAATAAAAATGTGGGGTTTCCCATGTTCTTGGATAGTGGCTGAGGAAACCCTGACCTACCAAGAGAGACGAATGCTGGTGCTTGGGGATGTCTAAACTCTCTGCTCTTACCTCCCAAGCCCACCTGGGGTCACTGACCTGTCTGAACGCTGAAGCCCTGAAGATGTGTCCTCATGCAGTCATCATCACAGAAAAGTTCAGTTTTTTAGTATGTGTTTTTTTTTTTTTTTTGGCAGAAATAGAGCCGATGAAGGCTTCTTTTAAAACTTCTCCACTTGATGGATTCTCAGTGATGGGATAATCGTGAAAGGGATTGCAGCGATGGCCTGGCTGTTGGGCAGGTGCTAGATAAAACTGTCCTGCCTGCTCCTCCAGCCCCACTATCGGGAAACTGATGGAGGCACCCCCAACCCCTGGGCCAGGGAGCTCCCGTGACCTGTCCCAAGCGGCCAAACTTTTTGGAATAAATATTAGTAATCGCCTTTGTACACCGTTAGTGGTAAATGGTAGATATTCTCTCTCTTTTCACATGGGCACAAGAGCCCCGGTATTGATGCCTAAAGCTCGGGATGGCACTGTGTTAGTCCAGAAAGCCTCAAGAAAAGGAGTATCCAGCAGGGATCACTGGGCAAAGACAAGAGCTCCCAGTAGCCACCATAGGGTTGGACTCGATGACCTTTAAAGGTGCCTCCCAACCCAAATCATTGTATGATTTTATGATTCTAGCAAAGGCCAGTGACAGCCCTGGACCAATCTGGAGGGCAAAAGGACCTCACCTGGGCCCCAGCAATGCCCAGCAAAGGCCCCGGAGAGCAGCAGGACCCTGCCTGGTCCCTGCCAAAGCTCGGTGGAAGTCCAGGGGCTCTCTGGAGAGAAGCAGGCGCTACCCAGGTCCCAGACAAAGCTTGGCCAAAGCCCCAGGTCTCTCTGTAGGGCGCGAGAGCCCCACATTCATCGATTCTGTATCACTCCAATTTATCTAGTGACAATAACGTTTTAGGGGGACTGTGTCAAACTCTTACAGAAGTGCAGGTAGCTGATACCCATAGCTCTTCCCTTGAAGGCCAAATTGGTGAAGTATGGGTTTGCCCTGGGTGAGGCCGTGCTGGCAGGCTCTCATCATTGCCGTGCCTTGGAGTTTGCAGCACAGTGGTTGAGAATAGAGTGGCACTTCTTAGGACGGGTCTGCCCCGGTGTCGTTGCCCCCCCTGTCCTGAAGCTCTTGGCTTTGCAAAAGGGTGGGTGCACTGAGGAGCAGCCCCCAGGGAGGCTGAGTGCAGACAGAGGTGCTGCAGCCTCCCTGGAATATTTATCCTTGGTGCTAAACTTGAAGGTGCAAGTGCTGCGTTGGGGTGGGGATGAAGAGCCCCTGGGTGCCTGCCCTCCCACACCCCCACAGTAGCCACAGCGAAGGGTGTGCTTTTTAATGTCAGTTATAATAAAATATTTTTACAGAGCCCAAAAAATTCAAAATAGTGCAAAACATCTCACTGTCATGCATCCATGGTAGCCGCCGGCGGCAGCGCCGCACGGGGTGGTACAGACACACAGGCATCGGTGACACAGGTGCTACAGGAGCAGAGTCGGTCGGGTCAATCACATGCCGAACAGGACAGTTTGGGGAGGGGGCACAGGGCCAGGGGCACCACAGCTGGGGGGTGCGGGGCTGAGCCTCAGCCTGGCCGTGCGGGAGCAGTGGTTAGAAAAGGGGTGTAAACATTGAACAGAAACAAGAGAGGAAAGCGAAACCCTTTGGTCCCAGGCAAACCCTATAGAAAAAGGACCACGGGGGACAGTTGGGGTACCCTGTTTTGGGATGGGGAGGCTGCTGAGAGAGCTATAGTGACTTGTGGGGTCATCAGGCCTCTGCCTTCCCCGGTACTTGGGGCAAGCTGGCCAGCTGGGGTGGCCATCCCCGACACCGCACACCCTGGCCTCCTGGGCGCTCGCACGAGACACACACACCACTGATCACGCAGAAATGGTGGTTAATGGGAAACTGGGGGTGGGGTCGGGCGGGTTGGGGGCAGGAAGGGTCTTGCTTGCGCCAAGGAGGTCTCATGGGCGCTGCTGCTCTGCACAGGGACGGCTGGTCCCCACTGGCCGGAGCAAAGGGAGACGGGTCCCTCCGCTCCAGTGCCCCCAGCCCTCACCCCCAAGCCCTGGCACCCTGGGGGGGGGGGGGGGGGGCGCAGTGGGGCAGCCCACGGTGGCAGCAAGGCAGGGAAGACAGAATAGGGGCCGGGGGCTGCACCCTGCCACTCCCGACCCCAGCGATGCCGCTGCCAGCCAGGGAGGGGACCCTGTGCAGGGCATGGGGGGGCTGCATCTGCCGACCCAAAAGCCCCAATAGCCCTTCCGGGTGCAGGACAAAGCCGTGTCTGGCTGCCCCGTGTCTGTACAGCTATTTACATATGTACAGGGTGCTCAGCGGGTGGGAGCCTCCCTGTCGCCCAGGGTGCCCGAGGGATGGGGACAAGGGGCCCGACCACGCTCCAGGGATGGGGACAAGGGGCCCGTCGTGTTGCTCTGGCTGCTCACCAACCCCCCCCCCCCCCGAGGGGGGATGAGACACCACCCCCCACCCCACCCCAGCCCTTTCCTTGTGTCACTCGATGAGGGTAGGGTCAGGGACGTTGGGCTTCCTCCGTCTCAGGTGGGCTGGGAAAGGGCAGATCTGCCCCATCGCCCCGTCTGGGGTCCAGCCCTTCCCTGCAGCCCCACCAGCCCCAGCACCTTCCCGTCGGGGTGGGACGGGGGCACGGCCGTGCTCTGCACTGCTGTCACCCGGCCAGGCTGGCCAAGGGAGGGGTGTGTGTGTGGGGGGGTCTGTCACTGCAGCCACGTCCCAGCCCTCACCCACGCCAGGGCCAGGAAGGAGCCTCCTCGTGTGGGCGCTCCTATGGCTTATACATGGCTGGAGGGTGCTGTAGAAAAGAGGGCAGGAGAGGGGGGAAGAGGGCTGGGCGGGGGGGGTGTGTGTGTGTGGAAGTGGTTTAACCGCTGCCCTCCTCGGCCGAGCGCGTGTCCGACTTGAGCTTGACGAACTCCTTGGCCACCTCGTCGTTGTTGCGCTGGGAGAGGATGCGGAGGACAGTGAGGCCGGTGTCGTCCATGTGGATGCGGCGGCCCAGGGGCAGCCAGCAGGCACAGCCGGGCCGCTGCAGGATGTCGCGGAGCTGCAGGACAGCGATGCCCACCGTCCGGTCCTCCCGGGCGAAGCAGTAATCCTTCACACACACCTGCAGCTCGTAGCACTCGGGGCCCGTCTCCGTCCCCAGCGTGCTGCGGGCAGGTTGGCGCAGGGGGGTCACACTCCCAGCCCCCCTGGCTTTGCAACAGCACCCTACATGGGTGCTGCCCCCCCTGCTGCCCCTAAAAAAGCCTTTTCTTTTTTTTCCCCTTTTCCTCAATGCTGCTTTTTTTTTTTTTCTTTCCCCCCCCCCGCTGCCCCTAAAAAAGCCTTTTCTTTTTTTTCCCTTTTTCCTCAATGCTTTTTTTTTTTTTCTTCCCCCCCCCGCCGCTGCCCCTAAAAAAGCCTTTTCTTTTTTTTCCCCTATTCCTCAATGCTTTTTTTTTTTCTTTCCCCCCCCCCCGCTGCCCCTAAAAAAGCCTTTTCTTTTTTTTCCCCTTTTCCTCAATGCTTTTTTTTTTTTTTCTTTCCCCCCCCCCGCTGCCCCTAAAAAAGCCTTTTCTTTTTTTTCCCCTATTCCTCAATGCTTTTTTTTTTTCTTTCCCCCCCCCCCCCCCGCTGCCCCTAAAAAAGCCTTTTCTTTTTTTTCCCCTTTTCCTCAATGCTTTTTTTTTTTTTTTCTTCCCCCCCCCGCTTTTACCAATGAGAAAATATCTAAAACATCCCCTGGGGGACGAGCAAACTCACTGGGAGAGCCCTCGAGGAGGGTGCCCCCACACTGCGGGGACATAGCCCCCCAGCCCGGCCCCGCAGCCCCAGCCCCACGGTGCCACTTACAACTGGAAGCTCTCGTTGTACTTGGGGGCCCAGCTGTTGTTCTTGGATTTGGTGGCAAATTTCCTCTTCTTGTCGCTGAGGTGGGGCCCGATGATGTTGACCTCGATGAAGGGCCGGAAGATGCCCGACGTCTGCCACTTGAGGTCATTCGCAGCCACCACTGCAAGGAAAGGGCACGTGAGGCTCGTGGGGCGCTGCCACCTGGCAGACCCCGGCGTCCCCGCCAGAGGAACCCACCTTTGACAGTGACTTTGTGTTCCCCGGTGCCGGGGTGGGTGAAGAGCTCCACGTGGATGGACACCTCCCCGACGGGCTCGTCCACTCCGGAGCCTGCATGGCAAAGGGAAGAGACGTGAGTGCCCGTTCCTCCTGTGCCCCGGACGTCCCCTGCCCACCAGCAACCCCACTGGAGGAGGCAGGTCACCCACCACGGGGCAGGAGGGGGAGGGCAGTAGGATTTGGCCCAGCGCGGTCTCTCCCAAAGAGTTCTGGGGACAGCAGCAGCTGTCAAGGGTGGCTGGGGCTGGCACCAGGCTGGGCTGGGGCATGGCAGGACACCCGCAGCGCCGGGCTGGCTCTGTCATCCCACCCCACAGCGGCAGGGCCTGGTGAGAGCCCCCCCCCCCGCCTTGCCCAGGCAGGGGCTGAGGTGCCTGGGCGGGATGGGGCAGGGGACAGTGGCCCAGGTCCCCCTACCACGGGCAGGGGGCAGGGGTGTCAGCGCTCGGCGCGTGGCCGTGAGCACGGGCACAGCACCGGGCAGGAGGGACCCCAGCTGGCCCTTGTGCCGCAGGGCAGCCGTGGCCCTGCCAGGGCTTTGGGGCTGACCTGCCCCCTCCTGTATCCCCTTCATCGCAGGGCCCACGGCAAGCCCCCGGGGTCCCTGCGCCTGGGGAACTCGGGTGACCTGCGACCAACAGCCCAGCCCACCCCTTTTCCCCGCCAAGAGCCGCGCATGCACCCATGAAGGAGGGGGTGCAAGGCAGAGGGAGAGGCTCCGTGGGTCAGATGGGGCCGGGGAGATCAAACGGAGCTCAGCGGGAAAGCTCCTGGGGTGGGAACAACAGTGCGAGGGAGGCAACACCGCCCACGCGTCACCGCACGGCCCCCAGCGAGGGTGCCAGCCCCGGGGGGTGTGGGGAGGCTGGCGAGGGCACGCTCTCCTCTCCGGCCACCTTCATGCCCACCCCCGGCACCCACCACCCCGGCAGCGCCGCATGCGGGGACGGAATGGAGGCGATGGTGGGCGAGGGGGGGGGGGGTGTCGGGGGGTACGGGAGGCCAAGCGGGGGGGGGGTGCGGCCCCGGCCCTTCTGGCAGGGTGCGATGGGGGTCAAGCGGGAGCCACGGAGCTGGGCTCATTCCTCACGCCCCGGGGCAGGCGGACGGAGCTCGCCGGAGCAAGGCTAGTAATGGTCCTTCTGGCAGCGGGGCGGATGGGAGCGGGCCGGGGCCGTGGCCGTGGCCTCCCCTGGGGCCACGGGTCCCGAGCGGACGGCTACCAGGCTCGCAGGGAGGTCCTGGCAGGTGCCCACCCCCGGGCAGCAGGACTGGGGGCGATACAGGGCGCCCAGAGCCTGCGAGCGAAGGCGGGCACCCCCAATCCCCACAGGGCACAGCCCCCCTCCCTGGTCTGGGCGGGCGGTCAAAGAGCAGCTCCTCCGAATTCAGCCCAAAGCAGCCCTGGGAGCGCGAGTCTGTGGGCAGAGGGGTCCCCAAGGCCGGCGGTGCTGGGACGGGGCTCCTGGCCACCCCGGCCCGCAGTGCCGGGACTGTTACTAGCCCAGGCCGGCGGCGGCAGGCAGGTGCAGGGGTGGGCGAGCAGCACACGTACCCTTCTCAGGATAAATTTCTTCACTAAGGGTAAACCTAATACCTTTCCCACCATGAACTAGTGGGAAGGAGAGAGAAAGAGACAGCGACACGGCACAGAGGAGACGAAGAGAGGAGGAAGGAGACGACGTGCGTGGGGGACGGGAACAGTGAAAGAGGGGGGAGAAAACAAAGAGAGAGAAAGAGAGATCAGATCTCACAGACAGGTGGACAGCCGAGCATCTGGACAACACTGCAGTGACACGGGCCGGGCACCACCCAGCTCTGAGCCCAGGGGGTCCTGGGGTCAGATCGCACCCAGGGGTGCTGGCACCCTCCCGACCCAACCCCACGCCCCCGACATGGCTGGCACAGGAGGCACAGACAGGACAGAAGTCCCTTGCAGGAGACGCACAGACAGCAAACGCACGTCCCACTCCCCGAGGACACGGACAAGCCTGGCTGGGGCACTATGCCATGGCCCATGGCCGTCGCCGAGCATCTCTGTCGCCTCCTTGAGCAGCCAAGGGACAAACTAAAGGCCAGCATTTAGAGCCGAGAGGTTGTCCTGCCCCCGAGGGTGCCCAGCACCCTGCATCGCGTGGCTGGGGGCGAGGGGCAGCACCCGGGAGGCACCCAGCACCCGGGACGGATCCCAAATCACAGGGTCTGTGGGGCACCCAGCGCGCCCAGGACGGGCCCCGGCACAGCATCCGCATCCAGCCAAGCCCCCAAGAGTCCTGAGCCCTGCCCAGGTAGGGCAGCGCTGGGACAGAGGACTCTGATGGGTGGCAGGGGCCAGCCAGAGGGGCACACGGGGCGATACGTGGCCAGAGGGTCACCTTCTCCCCCCACACTTGGGCCCCCTTTCTGCCTCAGCCCAGCCGTGCCCTGACACTGGGGACACGCTCTTCTGGCTGGTGGGGGGGGCTTGGGGGTGCCAGGCTGCCTCTGGGTACCCATGGCTGCTCTTCATTTGGAAACCATGGGAGGAGAAAGCCCTTCTCCCCCTCCCCACCCCTCTGTGAGCCTGGCTGGGACCCCCAGCCCCACCAGGACAGAGGCAGGGTGGAGCCCTGGCCGTGGGGCAGCCAAGACCGGGTGGGGGGATAGGGGACCCGAGTGGGGGGACCGGGGCAGTGCGTCCTACCCTGCGAAGCCTGGGTCTGCACAAAGGTTTTGATGAGGAGGTCGGTGGCCTGGGTGTAGAGGGACAGGGCGTAGCGCAGCGACTGCAGGTCGGGGCTCTTCTCCAGGAATGTCTTTTTCAGCCCCACACCACCAGCGTGGAAGTATTGCTGGAGGGGGGAAGACAGCGGCAGGGTCCTCAGCAGATCTGCTGGAGACCCCCCGTCGCCCCCCCCCGGGTCTGTGCCTCAGGGCGAGCACCCTCAGGGACACCCCTTCGTACCCCAGAGCGCCCTCACCTTGATGGTGTCCAGTGCCAGCTCTACCACTGCACATTGCTTTGGGGTCAGGCTCTTGGCTTCCTCCCGCACCATGTGGTCCTGCAAAGCACAAATCCTGCCCTCAGCGCAGGACCTGGCCCCTCTCCCCTCACCCCAGCTGTGCCAGCAAACGAGTACTGGCGGGGTCCTTGCAACAGTGCCAGTGCCAGCCTGCAAAGTGCCACCCACCCTAGCACAGAGAGGAGCCTGTCGTGTCCCCCCCCCCAGCCCCCAGCCCAGCCTCCCAGCCCTCACCTTCAGCTTGGAGAGCTGCCCCAGCTCCTTGGCTGCGTTGAAAATCATCTGCGTGCCCTGCAGAGAGCAAAGAGAGACAGGAACGGCCCCGGTGAGCGGCCGGGCTGGGGGTGCCGTGGCCAGGCTGGGCACATTGTGCCAGGAGCTTGCTGCAGCTCTGGGGGCTCCCCCGGCCCCCCAAACTCCAGGGGGGCCAGGGGGTTGCTCCTCAGAGAGCCCCAGGGGCCAGCAGCCATGCCAGGCATGGGGGTGCAGGGCTGGCAGCCCCCGTCCCAGCCCCAGAGCTCTCCGAGCGGGTGTGTGGCTGGGGGCTCGGGGACCCCGGGGCAGGACATCACCCTGGCAGCAGGGACCTCACGCCCTGCTCAGCACAAGCAGCTTGGCCCCAGGGTCCCATCCTGCTCCCTGTGGTGCCCAAGCACCCACTTCTGCATCCAACAGAGCCCAGCACGGCACAGCACTGGCACCGCACGGACAACCGTCCCTCGGGGCAGGGCGCAGAGCGAGTGCAGGGGGACAGCGGGCACAGGGAGGATACGGCGCAGTCCCCTCCCCGTACCCCGTGGGGCTGGCAGCCAAGCCAAACACCCCTCTGCCCGCCAGACCCCCTACCAGTCCCAGCCCCAGGGAGGTTCCCAGCCCCTTCGCACCCCAGGACACATCGCGGCTGGGAGCCCCTGGCCACCTCTGTGGGCCCCGGGCTGTGCCACCCCCATGGGCAGGGGCCACGAAGCCATTCCGTGGGGCCCCCCGCCATGGCTCCTGGGGGCACAGCCCCACGGCATGGGCAGATCCCGCTCACCTCCCTGGTCTGGCAACCACTTACCCGGCTGAGTGCAATCTTCCCTTCCCAAGCCCTTCAGTGTGCAACGTGCAGCTGGGTAAAGTGGGGCCCCGTGGGGCAGAGCCAGCGATTCCCACCCGCTTCCCCTCCCGGCACCAGTAGCTCCAATCCTTCCCAGCAAGAAACCCCAGCATCTATTCCACTGGCCATTACCTTCTGCAGGGGTCTGGCCCGCCCGTGCCCCTATTAACCCTTTGGGCCCCCCCAACCCCCAAGTTCTGTCCCATCAATCCTTCCCTTGCTGCCCCGGTCTCCCCCAGCCAGCGAACAGGCTGTGAGCTGGGGACACTGGTGTCACCCACACAGAGTGCAATGGGACACTACTGAGCTGGGACCCCCCCACACCCTGCAGCGCCCAGGACAAGGGACAGGGAGGAGGTGAGAGGAGGGACCAGAGCCAAGGGGGGAGCAGAAGAGCCATGTCCTTACTTCAGTGTGACTGGGCAGCTTCACCCTGCTCTGGAAGAGAACAGCAAGGGACAGTTACTGGTGGCCCCAGAAGTGGCCAGCCGCGGGTCCGGGCCTCCCACATCCCCCAGCCCTGCAGGCTCTGGCCCTGTACTCTCCTCTGGCTGTGCCCAGTTCCCCACTGGTGCCACTGGGTCAGCACCAGCTCACACCCGCAAAGGCTCAGCCCCACGCACTCGCTGGTGAATCTGTGATGGGCACGCCAGGTCTCTTCCTGAGTGGGGGCAGGCTTACTCCCCCCCCCCACACACACTTTGTTTGGGGCTGGGGAAATAGCAGCACGTGGAGAAAAGCATCTCACCCGGAACACTTAGGAGACTGGGGCAGGACCCAGTGTCCCCTGTGAGAGGAGGGGGGGGCCGGGGGGAGCCGCAGGCATCGCCCAGACGGATGCCGGTACGGCTCTGCCTGAAGCCAGGGCTTGGGAGCAGGCTGTGCTGAGCCCCCAGCCCAGCAGTGGGGAGCACCCAGATTGAGGGGGGGGGGCCCCTCGTGCCTGGAGGAAGCCTCTTTGGCAAGTTCTGGGGCTCAGCGAGCCTTGCTGAGGCCCCCCCAGCATCGGGGGGAAGCGGGCTCAGAGATCCAGGGGATCCCAGGTTCCGGAGTGCCCTGTGCATGCCCAGCATGGCCCAGCATCCTGGGGGTCACCTCTCCCTGAGCCCCCAGGGGTGGGACACGTTAGTGCCTGGGATCTCCCATGCTTGGGCACCCTGTCCCCACGCTGTCCCAGCCAGGCACCTGGAGGGGTGCTGAGCGCCTTGGGGCAGCACCCCCCCATGCCTGCCTGGGGATGGGTAACACCCCACACACCCACCCACGGAGGGGGGGGCGGGTAAACACGCCACGACACCGGGTCCCTATCCTGGGCCACGCACAGAGACAGGTCACTGCCCCCATCCTGAACCCAGGCAGCACGTCCCGGACAACACGGCACACCTCAACACGACAACACGCCACGCAGGCAACGGCACATCCAGACAGCACGACAGAGGAAGCACGGACAAGCCTGGACCTCCACAGCAGGCGGGTGTGGGGCCACGAGTGTGGCCACGGGGCAATGACACACACGGAGCCCACGGCTATTTACCTTCTCTGTCCCCTTGCCATGTTTTCTCAAGAGCGTGCCCTGTAGAAGCAACGTCAGAGGTTGAGTGGGGGACAGCGTGGGGCAGGACGTGGGGGTGCAGGGCAAGGCTGGGCACGTGGGGTGACCACAAGCTGGCGGCAAAGACAGCGCTGAGCTCCTAAAGGGCACCCCGGACCGGTGGGGGACTGGTCCCTGTTGGGGTGCTGGGCACATGGGGGGGGACTGGTCCCTGTTGGGGTGCTGGGCACACGGGGGGAGACTGGTCCCTGTTGGGGTGCTGGGCACATGGCGGGGGGACTGGTCCCTGTTGGGGTGCTGGGCACACGGGGGGGGACTGGTCCCTGTTGGGGTGCTGGGCCCATGGAGGGGGACTGGTCCCTGTTGGGGTGCTGGGCACATGGGGGGGGACTGGTCCCTGTTGGGGTGCTGGGCACATGGCGGGGACTGGTCCCTGTTGGGGTGCTGGGCCCATGGGGGGGACTGGTCCCTGTTGGGGTGCTGGGCCCATGGAGGGGGACTGGTCCCTGTTGGGGTGCTGGGCACACGGGGGGGGACTGGTCCCTGTTGGGGTGCTGGGCCCATGGAGGGGGGACTGGTCCCTGTTGGGGTGCTGGGCCCATGGGGGGGGACTGGTCCCTGTTGGGGTGCTGGGCCCATGGGGGGGGACTGGTCCCCAGGGGGATGCTGCGTCAGTGGTGTCTTTGGGATGCTGGGCCAACTGGTCCCTGCTGGGATGCAGGACGTTGCACTGATGGGGAACTGGTCCCCGCACCGGGACGGCTGGTCCCTGCTGGAATAACGGGGTGCTGAGCCCACGGGGGACTGGTCTCCACTGGGATACAGGCAGGCAGGAGCCAGCTGTGTGGGCAGCCCCCCCCCCCCCCCCTTCCCCTCCGGCTCTGGCTGATGCTCACAGCGGGTGGGGAGGGGGCAGCATCTGCACACAGAGTTCTGGTCTGCGCGGCGTTGGCCCCAGTGACAACCCCACACTGGCCCAGGCCCAGCAGTGGCAAGAGAAACGCTGCAAAATGGGGCAGCGCTGCCACGTGGGGGGGTTCCTTATCAGCCTCCCGGGTCGGGGGGGCTGGGGCACATCTGACTCAGGAGGGGGCGGCAAGGGGGGGGTCAGCCGGCAGGGAAGCCTGCGGGAGGGACAAGCAGCACGGTCAGGGCCAAGCGGGGCCGCCCGAAGGGTTCCTTGCCCCGGAGGGAAACTGAGGCACGGGGTGATGGGTGAACAAGAGGACCTTGACGTCCGTCGAGCTGACACCACCCCAGTCCCCCAGCAGCCTCAGCGAGGCTGGGACATGGGGGTCCCTGTGAGGTCTGAAGGGAGGCTCAGCCCCAGGCTGCCCCCAGGGTCTCTCCGAATGCTGCCGTTGGAAAACAAAAGGTGTCGGGGGACACGGGATGGGCGTTTGTCCCCGCAGGGGTTGGCACCCGGCGGCACCCACACCTCTGCTCCTCCTTGCGGAGGTACCTGCGGTCGGAGCAGGGGTGGGGGCAGGACTGGGGGTGGACGTGGCCCTTCCCTTGCCCCACGGGGCATAAGCCCATGGCCACAGGCCGAGCAGAAGAGGGCAAAAGGTAACTGCTCCCTCAAAGCCATGCGGTAGTGCCAGGGAGGGAACCCGGGCTCCAAGGGCCGCAGCCCAACCAGGGAAAAAGCCTCACAACTCCTACCAGCAACCGGCCCCACCAGTGAGCAACCAGGCCAGGGACCCTTGCGTCCCAGCAAAGATGCTCCTCTCCACAGGCAGAGAAAGCCTCTGCCTTCAGCCCCCCACCGTATCCACGCGCCAGCCAGGGCCTCGGGGGGAAACTGAGGCACGAGGGCTCAGGGGAGAGCAGCCCTGACTGCCAGGCACCCACCGCCCCCCCCTGCTCGTGTCTCCCGTGGCATCTCTCGCCCTCAGCCCCGAGCGAGAAGGTGGGATCAGCCTGGGTCTGGCTGTCCCTGGGTACATGGCACTGCCCCATCTTGTCCCCTCCCACTCCGTCACTGGAGCTTGCAGCCCCCCTCGTCCAGGCACCGTGGGTCTGCCAGGACCCTTCCCACCCCCCGAACCCAGGTGGGGCCACGGGCACGTGCCCCCACGAGCCAGTGCCAAGCGGGCAGCATGAGGATGGGGACCACAGAGGTGGACCAAGTCGGGGGCCGGCGGAGGGCGTGGGCAGGGCGCGGGCAGCCACACAAGACAAAAACTCGGCGAGGCCAGGACCGACACACAGCGGACAGACAGACAGACAGACAGGGAGCTGCCGTACTTACAATCATCTGCCATTGAGAGGCGAGCGGAGCAATTGGAGAGAACAACCGTGACGTGAGTGTCGGCCCCCTCCTCCATCCTCCCCGGCCCCAGCTGCCCCACAGCTGGGACCCAGCCCCAGCCCCCCCTACCCCACCCCCCGGAGGGACAGCAGAGCCAGGGGTGTCCGTCCCCCCCGTCGGACGTGCCACTGCACGTGGTGTCCGTGCCCTGCCACCGCCACCGCGGGTCTCCACAGCCCCAGAGTGGCCCCACCCCAACCTGCCCGATCCTTCCTCACCATGGCAGGGGGCTCTGCCCCGTGGGGACTCGGCTCCAGGGAGCGAGTGGACCCCACCCGACATTTGGCTCCGACACGTAGCCCTGTGTCACCAACCTACCCAGTCACCCGGAGCCCGGAGACACCCCGGGCGGGCTGTCCCTTGCCATAGGGACCACCCCCAGCGCAACCCCCTCCAAGGACTGTCCCCCCCCCCCCCCCTCAGGACAACTGCCCAACAGATCCACGTGTCCACGTCACCTCCTCTGCCCGCAGCACAGGGCTCGCCGCCTCCAGAACGTGGCACAGCCCCACATGGCTGGGAAAGGACAGGGATGGGGCCTGGGACGGCGACTGGGACCCAGTGGCACCAGAGTTCCTGCTAGATTTGGCCACCTTTGGCCAAGGGGCTGTGAGCCTGGCCGGGAGTGATGCAGGGCTGAGCCGAGCCAGGCTCTGGGCTGTGACAAGCTGCCGGTGAGGTGGCACCACTGAGGGCTGACAGGTCAGTCCCTTACAGACACAGCACGAGGAGCCCCACAGCCCCAGAAAGGTGACACAGTGGCCAGGGGCTCCAAGTAAGAGCCTGAGCCCAGCTTTGTGACAGTGACAAAAGCCCTGACCCTGAGGGAACAGCCACCCTGGGAAGCCTCAGGGCGCACGGCTACACGCAGGGAGGACAGGCACACAGCGATGCGACACGGAGCCTCCGAGGCTGTAGGCAACATCCCTCTGAGGGGGGGCCATTCCCTGGGCTTCGCTCTGCTCCCCTTGAGCCTGTTCAGCCCACGAGCAAGGAAGAGTTCAGCCCTGCTGCTAGGACATGCCCCCCCCCCCCAGCCCCCACATCACCCCCCAGCCCTCAAACCCTGCTCCCCAGACGGCCCCAGCCCCACAGCAAGGCTGACGTGCGGTGGCTCCCTGCACCCCGAGAGCCTTCCCCTTCACCTCCTGGCACGGGGACGGTGCCCACGGCCCGTGCTGGTGCGCACGGCATGGGATGCTGCCCCAGCTCGGGGCAAGGATGGAGAGGAAAGGACCAGTGCCCCTTCCTGGTGCCACGATGAAGATGGCAGGAAGGTCCTCGGGCAAAGCCAGCCAAGAGGGTGCTGGACTGCACGCAGTCAAGCGTGACCTTTCTCTCCTCCATCCCTTCCCTGGCCATGAGTCGGGGGCAGGTTTGGGGAGGCCACCAAAGCCCCCACCCCCTCAGCAGCCAGCAACGTCCCACACTGGTCCCAATCAGCCACCCGTGCCTCAGCTCCAGGCTCCCGCATCCCTTGTCCCCCTCCCTGTCACTCACCGTCTGGTCAGTGAGTGGGGGCAGGACGATGGTCTTCTCCATCGTGTTCATCACCAGCTTCCAGAGCTCCTTCAGCACCCGCTTCAGCACCGTCTTCTCGCAGATCTTGGCAAAGAGCGTCAGGCTGCAGAGAGGGGACAGGGCTGAAGGTCCCGTCACTGCCCCCCTGCAGCCACCCCTTGCCCAGTCACCCTGACCCTGCAGGTCCCCCCCCACTCCCGGGGAGGGTCAGGGGCACTGGGGAGGGGAGGGGGTCCCTGTTGCCCCCCCCAACTCACTTGCTGTCCAGAAGGTCCATGATGGGCTGCAGGACATTGTCAGCATCCTGCGCAACGCTGCTGCAGGTGCTGGCGGGGACGTTGCCGGTGCCCTTCACCTGGCCCAGGATGTCGCCCATCTGCTTCACGCACTCCTCGATGTGCGGCTGGAAACTGGGGACCGCAACGCCCAGGCAGCTCAGCATCCCCCCACGGCCGTGCCCAGAACCCGCTTGGCTGCCCAGAGCCCCCGGTCTGGCCCCAGCCGCAGCTCCTGGACCCCCAAACCTCGCCTTGACCCACCACCCACGCCCTCCCGCCCGAGGGTACCTGGTGGCAAAGACACGGCTCAGCTCATCCAGGACGTTGTTGAGTTTCACCTGCAGCTCCTTGAGGATATCACTGGCTTCTGTGTCCAGCTGAGGGAAGGGCAGGTTGGAGAAGTTGTCAGGGTCCCTGCCCCAGTCCCAGGGGGGCCTCTGCACCCCAGATGCACCCCTGGGCAGGGCGAAGCCCATCTGTCATCCAATGTGGTGGGAGAGCAGGGTGCCATGGGGTGGGAGAGCAGGGTGCTATGGGGTGGGAGAGCAGGGTGCCATGGGGTGGGAGATCAGGGTGCTATGGGGTAGGAGAGCAGGGTGCTATGGGGTAGGAGAGCAGGGTGCCATGGGGTGGGAGAGCAGGGTGCCATGGGGTGGGAGATCAGGGTGCTATGGGGTAGGAGAGCAGGGTGCTATGGGGTGGGAGAGCAGGGTGCCATGGGGTGGGAGATCAGGGTGCTATGGGGTAGGAGAGCAGGGTGCTATGGGGTAGGAGAGCAGGGTGCCATGGGGTGGGAGAGCATGTTCCCATACAGTAGTGAGGAACTGGGGAAGGGGCTGCCTCTGGGGAGAAGGGACTGAGCCGGCCCCTCCACAGGGCTCCCTCCCTCCCGGAGAGCCCCGATACCCACCTCCTTCCCACCCATGGCTTCAAACATCTTCTCAAGCTGGACGCGGAGCTGCTGGATGTTGTTCATCAGGATGCAGGGCTGGAGGGGTGGGACGGAGCGGGAGGGGGGTCAGCACCAACACACGCGGCTGGAGCAGCTGCTCACCACGCCAGGTCCCTCCCACCCCCACTGGGGGACACAGGGACAGTGACGGCCCGGAGCCCTGCCCTGCCCCACTGCAGGCACTGCCATCGGATAGAGACCAAGGGCAGGACCTGCGTCCTGGGGACCAGCTCTGGGGCTGGGCTGAGGGCTGGGGTCACCGCGTGTGGACAGTCCCTGTGGCAGCACCGGGCAGGGGGCGAGCAGAAGGGAGATACGTCACCACTTTCTCCTTCTCCTTGGAGCAGTATGAGGCAAAATCCTTGGAGATGATCTCGGCATACTGGAGTAGCACATTGCTGATGGTCTGCAGCCAGAGAAGGGCAGCGACAAAGACACCCAGACAGCATCAAAGAGGAGGAAGGAGGGAAAGGAGGAGACTGTGAATCTCACAGCAGGGAAAGGACCTGGATACACCCTGGGCTGCCTAGACCCCCTGGCCCCACGGATGCGCCAGGCGCTGCACGGGCACGGCCACTGGAAGTCGGATCCAGTGCATCTGCTTTTCATGGGCAGCGCGATCACCAGCACAGCATCGGCCACCAAGCCTGCGTGCAACTCCCTGCCACACCGCAGCAAGCCACTGGTGTTTAACTATTCCAGATTAATTAACAAATTAACTGATTAGTTAGCTCATCTCCTGCGCTAGCAAAACTGGGAGAGCCACGGGGTCTGTCGGTGGCACGTCCGCTTGAACGCCGATGTTAGAGGCGGTGCAATCTGCGCCCTGTGCTGCTTCCCGCGGCTGGATGGGAGGTGGCAGAGGCAGCCCAGGAGCCCAGGGCCAGGGCTGGGACCGGGGACCCGGGGTGCTGCTGGCCCAGCGGCCCCCGGCCCGGCAGCTGCCCACCTTGGCAAACCTTCGCATGTAGTGCCCAACAATCTGGGGGTCGGGGCACTCGAGCTTCTTGATGATCTCGAAGCTCTGGTTGAGCTGGGAGAAGACGTCCACCACGGAGCAAGAGAAGAGCGCGTGCTCCGACGTCTGCTGGAACTAGGGGAGTGAGAGGCAGTGTCAGCAGGAGGCGGGGAGGGGGCGTTTTGGCCCCAGTGGGGACACGCTGAGCACCGAAGGACAAGCCCCTGCGCCCGCTGACTGTCCGGCTCATACCCCATCCTTCTTGTCCCGCTCGAGCGCTCCATGCAGGAAATCCCGCGACACCTCTTCATTCTCATCCAGCCACTGGATGACAAAGGGCTCGAACCAGCTGGAAGAGAGGCCCGGCCCCAGTGAGGCCAGCCAGCCCCCCCCGGGACGCAGGCACCCCCTCCCCAGCCCCCCCGAGGTCTACACTCACGCGGGGTACTCAGGCACGCGGCTCTTGAAGGAGGGCAGCTCGGTGACGTACTCGTTGTACAGCCACTTCACCTTGAAGTGCAGGTTCATGTAGTCCGCGCTCTTGCACAGGCGGTGCTTGTCGTGCTCTGCACAGGGAAGGGGAGGGGGGGGGGGGGCGCAGGGGTTGCTGCAAGCCCCAAACCTGGGGGGGCAGCTGCCCTGAGGGCAGCTCCGGGAATGCCAGTGTAATGGGAAGTGCTTCTCGGGGGGGTGGAGGGGGGTGGGGGGATTTAAGCTCGGCATCATATTGATGAGAGGGTGAAATGGGTTTGCCCGTGGAGCAGGAAAGGTAGGAGCAGAGTCCAGCTCCTGCCTGGTTCTCCCACGCAGCTCGGGGAGGTGGCGGGGGGACTCACCCTCCATCGCGTACTTCATGTCCTGAGCAAAGAGGTTCCACATCACCTCGGCGCTGATCTTCCCCACGTTCAGTTCCTGGGGGAACCTGGGGCGAGGCGAAAGCACAGACAAGGGGTGGACCAGCCCTCCCCTTGGAGACACATCCCCCCCGGCACCTCCCGCTTGCCTCAGTTTCCCCTTCTGCAGAATGGGTGTTACAACCCACTCCCAAAGGACTAAAGCTACCATCGCCGGCGTGTGGGTGTCCCCCCAGGGGCAAAGCAGGGTCCCCTTTCCCGGCACCTACTCACTGGTTCAGGCAGGGCGTGTAGGAATTCTTGTCCTCCTCGATAATGGAGACGATCAGGGTGATGAGCTTGGACCAAAAGTCCAGGTTTTTGATGCTGGGACCCTGCTCCTCGGGGGGCACCTCGCCTTTCTTAGTCTGGAGTGATGGGGACATAGTGGAGGCTCCAGTCGCACCACCCGCCAGGCTCAATTTCATGGCAGGGCTAACGGGGGGGCAGGAGGGCTCTGGGAACACCCTGGAGGCCCCCCCGCAGCCCCCCCTCGTCTGGGCCTGGTCTCATCCCCGCAGCAGCGGGGCTCAAACCCTGCCCAAGGCTTGGGGCTCACTCTGCAGGGGGCTGAGCGCTGGACAGGGAGCGGGAGCATCGCGCAGAAGAGAAGGGCCGGGGATGGGGGAAGGTGAGCAGGGAGCAGTAGGGTCCCGGCATCCCAGCCCATCCCAGCGCATCCCAGCCCAGCCCAGCCCAGCCCAGACCAGCGCATCCCAGCCCATCCCAGCCCATCCCAGCCCATCCCAGCCTGTCCCAGCCCATCCCAGACCATCCCAGCCCGTCCCAGCCCATCCCAGCCCATCCCAGCCCATCCCAGCCCATCCCAGTGCATCCCAGTCCATCCCAGCGCATCCCAGTGCAATCCCGGCCCATCCCAGCCCATCCCAGCCCATCCCAGTGCGATCCCAGCCCATCCCACCCCATCCCACCCCATCCCATCCCATCCCATCCCAGCCCAGCCCAGCCCAGCCCATCCCAGTGCATCCCAGCCCATCCCACCCCATCCCAGCCCATCCCAGTGCATCCCAGCGCATCCCAGTCCATCCCAGCGCATCCCAGTGCAATCCCAGCCCATCCCACCCCATCCCATCCCAGCCCAGCCCAGCCCAGCCCAGCCCATCCCGGCCCATCCCAGCGCATCCCAGCCCATCCCACCCCAGCCCACCCCAGCCCATCCCACCCCAGCCCAGCCCACCCCACCCCATCCCAGCCCACCCCAGCCCATCCCATCCCAGCCCAGCCCAGCCCATCCCAGCCCACCCCAGCCCATCCCAGCTCCCCCCGCCCAACGCACCGGGTCCGTCTGGTACTCGCGGCTGTAGAGCTCATGACAGTTGTTGAAGATGTACTCGTAGGTGGAGTTGAGGCAGGCTTTCACGCAGTCCTTCACCACCTGGCTGGCTCGGGGGGGGCTCTGCAGCTCCTGGACCTGGGTGTGCGGGGAGGGAGCGGCGCTGGAGACAGCCCCCCAGCCCCGGGAGCCACCGCGGGGCCAGCGTGACCCCAACCTTGCACGGAACCGGGGCCAGCGAGGGTCAGGCTCCCCACCAGAGGGCTGGGGGGAGCGGGGTCCCAGCGATACCTTCATCCGAAAGAAGGTGATGCTGGTCAGCAAATCCACTGTGGACTTGAGATCCTGCAGCCGTTCCGGACTGCTGGCAGGGAAGTTGTTCTGCCAAAGGGGAAGACAAGAGCGGAGTTCCACACAAAACTCTCACAGGGCCGAGTGGAGCGGAGAAAACAGCTGCCTGCTGTTTCGGGCTTTCCTAGAGAGGTGGGGAAACGGGGGCACAGCGGGCACCTTACCCGGTACATGGAGAGGTCAATCCTCAGCGAGTTGTGCAGCTGGTCGAGGAGTTTGACGAACCGCTCCTTCTGCGGAGAAACGCCCCGGAGCCGGGTAAACGGGGGAAAGGCGGCCGGGACCGCCCCCCCTCCCCGCTGCCCCCGGCTCCCTCTGCCCCTAGCCTGGCACCCTCTGCCCCCAGCTCATCCCTCTCCTCCAGTCTGTCTTTCCTGCCCTCCTTCTTTCAGCAGAGCCCTGCGGGCAGGCACCGGATGCCCGCAGAGAAGAGCACGTCCTCGCTGGCGGCCACCGACGGCTCCTGGAGCACAGGGGGCCGTGCCGGGCACGGTGCAGGAGCAAGAGAGAACCCCACGCATCCCCTCTGCTCCCGCTGGCGGTCGGTGCCAGGGTGGGGATGGGCTGCTCTATCTGCTCAGCCCACTCGAACGCCTCCGAGCCCCGGGGCTCGGGGCAGGAGCAGGGAGAGGGCGTGAAGGATCGCGCCCCTTGGCCTCGTGGCCCCCCCCGGAGTGAAGCTTTCCGAACGCTCGGGGGGGGGGGAAAAAGGGCAGGGAAAGAGCAGCTGGGCTGCTGCAGTGGTCGCCCATCCCTGGGGCCGAGTCGCTTCGAGGCAAGGCCGGGTTGGCCCTCGGGAGTTGGATGCCCCTGCGGGCTCCTTGCTCGCCCAACCGAGCTGCATCGAGGGCTGCGGGCAGGGAACCACCCCGGGCAGGTGGTCTCCACTGGGGCCGATTCAGCTCAGCCCAGCTCCCGTCCAGGGAGCGCCGGGCAGGAGGGTGCAAATCCCACACTGGGCTGCGGATCGGGCATCCGAGCGGGGGGCGAAGCAACCAACCTGCCCCAAAACACTGTCAGGAGGCATTTCACTTGGCAGCTCAACCGGAGCAGGGCTGGCTTTGGGCAATCCCACGGGCCTCCCACGAGAGCCCTGGGTTCCCCCCACAGCGCCGGGTCAGGGCTGCCCCACGGGGCTCCGGAGAGCCCGGAGCAGCTCCCCGAGTCCCGGGGGAGGGGAGGACAGGGGGACGGGACGGGGCAGCAAGTCCCGTGCCCGTCTGGCCGTGGCTCGGCCGAGCCCGACAGCCTGCACTGGCGACCGCAAACCTTCGGCGCGCTCGCCCGCCGGAGACGGCAAAGCCAGGCTCCGGGCCGAGACCGTGCGTCCCCGCCAGCGAACGGCTGCAGCGCTTTAAAACTGGACACGGCGGGTGCTCGGGGTTAAAGCGGCACGGCCGGGCACTTTAGGACCCAACCTTAGGCTCTCTAAAAAAAGAGAAAGAAACAAGTTTTTAAAACCCTCCATGTTAGAGAAAAGGTGCTTTTTTTTTTTTCAATTTTTTTTTTTTTTTTGACGGTTTCCTCCTCCTGCATGACCCGGAGGCACAGCTCGCTCGGCTCTAGCCACCCCCTGTAACAGGAAAAGGGGGGTGAGCCAAAGCACAAAGCAGCTGCCGCCCGGAGCTGCGCTCGGCCCTGGCTGTGGCCCTGGCTACCCAGCACTTTGCCTGACCCCGGGCTGGGCACTAATCCTGGCTCAACCCCTGTGCACCCAGAGCAACCACCCGCTGCCTCTGGGATGGCACAGGGGGAGCCGGGGTGAGAGCTCAGCCCCTCCTCGCCCACATCCCCGAGGACGCACCCGGCCCCGGCACAAACTCGCCCCGCTCGCTGCAAGCGAGGCACCCAGCGGGCACCCATGGGTGCTGGCACAGCCAGGCGAGTTTGCAGCGGTCCCGGGGTGTGCCCAAAGCACGCAGGGCCGTGCAAAACTCCCGGCAGGCTGCAGTGATGGCTCCTTGCCACCTGCTTGCGATTTTGCCATCGAGCTTTCCCCCGCTCCTGCCACGCTGCTGTGCGGCACCCCGGCCCGCCCAGACTCCAGCTGCGGCCTTACCATAATAATTTGGGGATCAAATTTAGACCCTCTACCAGGAAGGTGGCGGCTCTTTTACTTCCTGAAAAACCGGCGCCGGGGTGAATTTGGGGGCAAGCAGGGGCTGAGCCCCTTGCTGCCCAGCTGCAGTTTGGAGCGGGGTGTTTTGCACGGCCCTTTTTGCCCCTTCAAGCCCCCCGCCCCCTCCCAAGAGAAGAGAGAGAAGAAGGAAGGAGTGTTTACGCACCATCGGACTTACCCCGAAATTGGAAGCAGCAAAGCGGTCGGAGGCGGAGACGTTGGTGGAAGCCGTGGTGTGGGCATAGTAGGCGTTGATGTTGGCTAGCAGGGTACTCATCACCGCCGGCACCCCGGGGCACATGTATTTGGAGGAAAGGCAGGCAAAATGCCTGCAGAGGGGGGCGGGAGGTGAGGGCCCAGGGCCGCGGGAGGGGCTGCCTGTAGGAAGGGGTGCGGGGTTTGGGGTGCACGCAAGGAGAAGGGGGATGGAGGGGGGTGCACGGGCGTGGGGCGAGCTAGGGGAGCACGTCTGCGCCGGTGGCGGGGAGGTGGGTGCAAACGGCAGCAGGGGAGGAAGATGCTGAGAGTGACCCCCCCCAACGCAGGGCTGGGGCAGCCCCGTTGAGCAGGGTGGGGGGTGAGGGACTCACGTCATGGCCTGGTAGATGGACTCCACCCCGTAGCGCATGGCAAACTCGTCCACGATCTCCTGCGCCGTCTCGTCAAAGTAGACTTTCCAGGCGTCGTCCCCCTTGGCGTCAGGGATCTTCACCACCCCGTTGTTTTGCAAATCCGTCACGAAGTGGAACAGGTTCTGGAGGTACAAACGGGTCCTGTCAGCGCCCCAGGGCAGCGGTGGCACAGTGGCATGGCTGGGGTGGGGGCCGCGCCCCCCCCCCCCCCCCCCCCGCGCCTGCTGCGGCTGCTCACCTCGTGCAGGCACGTGTACTGCACGTGGTAGGGAGCCACCTTCTCCTCGCCCTTGATCTCCACGCTGATGTGCAGCCGGATGGCTCCTGACACGGCCGACTTGTCTGTCCGCTTGTCTGCGGGGGTACAGGGAGCGGGGCGAGACGTCAGGCCTCCCCGGAGCGGCTCTGCTCACTCCTGGCCCCAAAGTGGGGCAGACAGCTCTGGCCCGGAGCGGCTCCTGGGGCCGGGGCCAGGGGGATGCCCAGCGCCGGGCCCAGCCAGGCCAGGGTGCAACGCAGCAAAGGCATTGCACAGAGGGATTTGGCCATATTTCCAGGCACTACAGAAATGTGGCCTCTCTGCGCCTCAGTTTCCCCTCTGCGGAGGGGCTCCAGACCTCCTGGGTAAAGGGTTTTGGGAATGACCCTGGGAGAACCGATGGCTTTGGATATTAAATGTTTTTAACAGCAGAGCTATATGCTAATAGCCGAAACAGCCTCCACACCGGGGCCGGCAGCATGTCCCCCCAGGAGCAGAGGGCCGGGGGTCCCAGACCGAGCAGGCCATGCTGGGGCAGCCGGTTACCGAGGTTGTACCAGACGTCCATCTCTCCGCTCAGGGTCCGGACCTCAATGATCGTCTGGCCCAGGAAGTCATCCGACTCCCTCTTGAAGCGCTGTTTGACACGGGACTTGATGTCGTCATCCTCGTCCCAGACACGGACCTTGATGCGGTCGGAGGAGTTATGGCACTCACTGGGGAAGCGAGACGGGGCGAGCCCGGGGATGAGCGAGGCGAGGCAACCCTTGAGCCTGGCCCCAGCCTCCACTTCCCTAAGCAAGAGGGACCACCCCAGCGCTGGACAGGGACTGGGGAAGAGAGCAGAGGTGGGAGCACCCACCCTCCCCAGTGGGCTCGGCAGGGCCCGGCACCCTGCCCACGCAGCCCCAACACAGCCTGGATCAGGCTCCGTCACTGGGAGCCAAACCCTCCCTGGCACAAAAGCAGCGCTCCCAGTAACCCCAGCATCCCCCCCTCCACCCCCAACTGGGGCGGGGTGCCCCAGCTGCCTCCCCACCACCCCGCAGGGACGCGCTGGCAGCCAGCGCAGCCCGGCACGGCTGCGAGTGGCCGGGAAGGGGGACGGAGAGACCAAGGACGAACTTACAAATGGAAATTCTCCTCCCAGACTGGGTTGAGATTGCCGTAGATAGTTTTAGTCCTTTTTTTGGTCTTTCCAACCTGGACAGTGACATACGGGTCGCTGGAACCCGTCTTATCCTTTGCTTGCAGGCCCTGGGCACAAACGACTGCAGCAGAGCAGGGCGCGGCGCAGCACGCGCGCCCGTCCGCACGAGGCACACGCGTGGCACGCAGTGGAGAGAACAGAGGGAGCGAGGAGTCAGTGCCACAGCCACACCGAGACCCCCGCGACAGGCACCCCGAGCCCCCCAGCAGAGCCCCAGGGGCTGAAGCCGCTTTGCAGGAGGAGGGGCAGGAGGGGGGGGGTTGGAGCACGCAGTACCCTTGCGCGAGGGCACAGCCACGGTGCCGGGCACGCGGTGCCTACCCGTGATGCTGATCTTGGCCGACCATTTGGACGTGCCGTCCAGGACGCTCTGCTTCACCGCCTTCATCTGCTGCGTGTGCGTGGTCTTGGTGACCCCAAACACCTCCTGGATCAGCTCAAATATCTCCGGCTTGTTGCGCTCCCGGATCTTCATGCGGTCCTTGAGCACCATGATGATATTCTGGGTCCGGTCCTCTGCTCCGTGCTTGGAGCTCTTCTCCGCCGCCCCTGGGTGAGGACAGCCAGGGGTGAGACGGGGCGGCGGGGTAGGTGGCATCCAGGAGAGAGCCGAGAGCTCCCCGAGCCCACCGTGCATGAAGGGATTCAAACCTGGAGGGGTCTACACCCTGCCCAGGACAGAGCTGCCCTGCTCACCACTTCCCCCCATGCACAAGGCAGGAATCCAGCTCTCCCCGGGCCGCCCCCTCCTCCCTCTCCGAGGCGAGAAGGGATGAGGCTGCAGGCAAGGGCTCCTTACTCTGCAGGCAGTCGGCATTGAGCAGGTCCTGGCACTTCTCGTGGCACTTGACGCCGCACTCGGCGCAGCGCATGCCCTGCCGGGCGATGCCCCAGAGCAGCCCCTCGCACTCGTAGCAGTAGGTGGGGGTGGTGGCCGTCCACACCTCAAAGTTGTGGGGCGTCGTGCAGGAGATGGGGTACACTAAGGCTTGCAGGGTCTTCTTGTAAACATGGTTTTTCTGCGCAGGGACAGAAGAGAGAGGGGGAGAAAAGCTCAGGCAGCATAGAGCAGGCGAGCCGTGCAGCGGGGCGTGGGGACCCCCCAGGTCCTGGGCCACGGGCGATGTCACCGCTGGGTGCAGACAAGCAGGGCAGAGGACAGGGCAGAGGACAAACAGCACCATCCCCGGGTGCAGCCGTGAGCATCCTGCCTGCTGTGTCATCACCGGAGGAGGATGCTGGTGTGGCACAGACCCCACATCTCTGCTGCTGGCCCGGCCGGCTGGGGCTCAGCCCTCCCACCACGACCGCCCGCGCCCCGGCCAACCCCAGCACCTACCAGCTCCTCATTGTTCAAGGTGCTCGAGGCCAGCGCGGATGTGATTCCCGCTTTCCTGGACTGGACCAGGGACTGTGGGAAAGAAACACGGTTCCCAGATCCAGCAGAGCATGGGGTGTCCCTCCCACACGCATTTGGGGTCCCGGGGGTCATAAAACACCCGGGAGGGACCCCCACCCCAGCCAGGGGTGGGTGCTCGCTGCATGGGCTGGCGGTGGGGACAGCTCAGCTCCCAGTGATGCCAGCACTGCGACCCACCACCCCGCTGGGCAGGAGGACTGGGACCAGTTCAGCAGCCGGCGGCATTCGGGGTTCAGCCCCAGTGGGGCAGAGCCTCTCAATGGGGGTCTGAGAGCCCCTGGGCCGGGAGGCACTTACCATCGCCTGCAGGCAGCCAGCGCCAGCGAGGAGGGAACAAAAGGCCGTTAGTGCAAGCCACCTCACAGCAGAGCAAGTCCTGGCCCCTTCCCTGCTGGGACGAGCGGGAATTGGGGCAACACCAACCCCTCACCCAGCACCGGGCCGGTCCCTGGGGGGGGGGGGGTTTCCCACCCCAAGACACGGCCCAGACCGCAGCCTGCCAAATCCCAGCGGGGAAAGGCAGCGCCCCCCCACCCCCCCGAACCCCCACCCTCTGCCCACCCCATCACCACCCACAACCCCACACCCCAAAACCCCAACACCGACACAGCACAGTGCAGAAGCATCAGTGGCTGCCCGAGCGGGCCGGGAGGTGGAGGGCACTGGGGTGAGGGGCAGCAAGGGGGGGGGGGGGGGGGCAGCGGGATGGGAGAGGACAGGCAGGTTGGGGACAGGATGGAGACACCCTGGGGAGGGCACAAAGAGATGGTGAGGTGTAAAGAGAAGGGGAAGGAGGCGAAGGGCACCTAATTCTGGGTGCAAAGGGTGTCTGGTTTCCAAAATTGCTGTCTCTGGTCACCAGGGGGGTGACAGCAGAGTGACCCTGTTGCATTACGGCCCAGGGGCTGGATGGGACCCCAGCATGGGGACCGGGCTGTAGCGGCTCAGCGTGCCAATGGCGGGGACAGGAGCAAAGGGTCTGTGCAGCTCAGAAAAGGCAGCGGGACCCCTCCTCTGGCACATGGGTCCATCTGCCCAGCACCAGCGCGGTCTGAGCGGAGGGGAGCCTGTGGCAGGTGGGACACGAAGGGACCGGGGACCCTGGCAGGTGGGACACGAAGGGACCGGGGACCCTGGCAGGTGGGACATGAAGGGACTGGGGACCCTGGCAGGTGGGACACGAAGGGACCTTTAGCGCTGGTAAAAAAATGGGAAACCAGACGCAGCCCTGGGAAGCCTTGGGCTGATGCTTGGCGTAGGGACAGGGCCCTGGAGCTCCGTTAAAGAGAAGCACCCTCAGGTGGGGAGAGCCCAGCTGTGCCATCCTCATAGCTCCCCTCTGCGAGGGCCAGGGCCAGGAGACCCCCAAAACAGCCTGGGACACCCCCACCCCCCGCCGACGGGGCCGGAGGAGGCTGGGCAGGGCTGGCCAGCAGCACCCAAGGGTGCTCTCTCTTTAACCCCTCGGACCGCGCTCACCAGATCGCTGACTAGAGGGAGAGATTTGCGTCCAGGCTTAATGTCGGGCATGCTGTTAATGCAGCGCAGAAACCTTACTGCCGCCCCCCTGCCGCCAGGGACGGCCAAGCCAGGCCGCAGAAAAGAAAACAGAAAACACAAGCCATGTTAGAGGCAGCCGGGGAGCGGGGCACGGGCGCTTGAGTCCAGCGGGGCACAGCAGGAGCGAAGCCGGCAGCTGTGTGGCGCAAGGCGTTAGGAGGAACCTCACCAAATCGCTAACTAAGGGGATGGGTTTTCGCTTGCGTATGTCCGGCATGCTGTCTATAATGATCAGCCCGCCACCAGGCCTGTAAGAGAGATGAGAGTCAGCGGGGAAGGGGAAACTGAGGCAGGAAGGGGCCCCCTGCAATCGCCCCGTGTTCGCTCGGGACTTGGCGGACAGGACCGCCAAGAGCGACCCCCGGGTGGCCTGGAACCCACCCATGGGACCCCCAGCCCCACCACCACCCTGGCCGGAGCAGGGCTCACCAGACTGAAAACTAGGGGGAAAAGGGATTACTGGCAGAAACTGCGATTTTCCCCCCACAAAGACGTTTTGCTTCAGTGGCGTAACAGTGAAACACAGGGAAAAACAACCCGTTTGGCTGAATTAGCTTCGGGTTTGCAGCGTGGAGTGGGAGAACGGGTTTCCCTCTGGGACACCGAAGGTGAGTGAGCACTGAGCTGCTCTGCTGCGAGAGAAACTGAGGCCACGCGGCTCAGGCAGAAACGCCACCGAGCAGCCTCCAGCCCCGTCTGCAAGAAAACCTCAGCGTGGTCTGGTGGGTTCTCGAGGAAACCTGCCAGGCTCTGCCCGGGACAGCGGCAGGGCCATCTGCGAGGGCGAGCCGGGGGCGAGACCCCCAGCCCGTCTGGGTGAGAGGTTCGGGGTTCCCCCGTGGCACCACTCGAGCCCCCGACGGCAGGAGAGGAGCAGGAGCTGCCCCCCCAGCTCGGTCCCAGCCCAACCCACTCACCTCCTCTCTCTCCCCCGCGGCAGCGGCTCTCGGGGACGCGGAGCGGTGGCATCCCTGCTGGCTCCTCCAAAAGCACCGAGCAACCAGCATTCAGCCCAAAAATCTGACCCCCCCCGCACACCCGCAGCTCGGCAACGCCTCCCCGTGCCAGCCCCCCACCCCGTGACGAGCTCGTTAATCACATCCTAATGAGCAGGGGAGAACAGCCCACAAAACCCCAGGGGGACGGAAAGTACCCGCTTCCCTGCGTACTCACCCGCCTTTGAACCACAGGGATTTAGCTTCTCCATCGCCTTCCCCGCGGGCCTGCAAGACACGGGGTGACTGTCACGGGCGCAGTGCCGGGCCCCTGGCACGCGTGGCAGCCCCCCCGGGGCTCGGGGCACCCAGCCCCCCGCCAGCGCCCGCAGCACTGGGCAAGCATGTAAAGGGTTTACAGGGCGGGCAGAGAAAAGCGTGTGCCTAAAACGATGGGGCTCTTTTCAGCAAAGGGCTTGCACTGGGAATAAAGTATCTTCAGGAGGCTGAGCTGGGCCAGTGGTGGGAAGGCTTCAGCAGAGGGGCTCGGGCTCGCAAAGCAGAGGGGGTGGGATGCACCGTGCAAAAATTGAGGGTTTGGGGGACGGGAGAAGCATCAGTCGAAAGGCTCAGCAGGTCCGCACGGACCCACGGGCCGTCGGAGAGAAGTGCAGGGATAAGGCAGAGCAGACGGGGGGGCTGGGGTGTGTGCAGGGACCATCCCGCAGTGCCACCTCCCTTGCAGGGAGGGGATTATTTGGGGGGAGCAGGGAGGAAAGAGCCAATTATACCTCCCTGATGGGGCAATCCCTGCACACACACACACACACGCACACGCACACAAGGCACTCACGGTGCGGGGTCGTTCCCGTTGAACATGCTTACCTGCAGGCAGGCTACACCCCTTCCCTGCAGGAAGGGGAGACGCGGGTGCAAGGGCCATGGTGGTGGACAACTGAAAAGAGAAGCGGTGGGGAGGGGGATCGAAGCCCCGGGGGGCGAATCCAGAGCCAAAACAAAAAGAAAAGATGGAGGATGGAGTCTAAAAACAGAACAAAAAATTGTCAACTCAATACGGGGGAGCGGGCGGAGGGGCTCACACCAGCACACTGCATGCAGCACACACCGGGGGAAGGTCCTCAGCACTCCCTGCCCCTCGTGGGGGTCCCACTTGGCGTGAATGGGGTTGCAGGGCCACCACCGTTGGGGCCCCCCAGGTCCCCACTGCCCTCGGGGAGAGGGACATCCCTGGGATGGGTCGTGTCTGGCAGATGCCCGGGTGTGGGAAGGGGCCGTGCCCCCAGCCTAGCACGGGGCCGGCCCTGGGACCCGGCCGCGGGGCCGCTCACCTCCTGCAGCTGCATGCAGACCTTGTTGAAGGCTCTCAACCAGTTGGCTTTGGCTCGTGCTTTGGGGTCCTGCACCTCCGCCTCTGCCTGCTCCCTGCAAGCACACGCACCTCGCTCAGCTCCCAGCACAGCACCGGGGAGGGGGGACTCAGCCCCCCACACCCTGGGCAAGACTGAGGCTGCAATTCAGGGACCTAGGTGGGCCTTGAGCCATTGTGGCCGTGGCAAAAAACCCCCTCTTGCTACCGGGAAGGACTCTAAGAAGGTAGCAAGGTCTGCTGGAAAGGGCAGCACAGTGACGGCAGAGCTCTGGGGAGAAGCCAGGAGTTCCCCCTCCCTTGGGAGACTCTGCCCCGGGCACCCAAGTGACACGGAGGGATCCCTCAGGAGTAAAGGGCCAGGGGGCTGCCGGCGATGGCATTAAACGTGCCCATGGATTAAACACCCTTCACCTCTCATCTCCCCGGCAGGATGTCCTCCAGCTGCTCCTCACCATGCCGGGACCTCCTGGGGTTAGGAGCTCCTAACAGCCCAGCGGCTCCAAGACCAGGAGGACCCCCCCAGCCTGGATGTTCTGGTTGTTGTGGGTTTTTTACTCTTCTCTTGCAAAATCAAGACATGGAGGAAAAGAAAAGAAATCCTCCAAATATCCCAGCCTCCTGGAGAGTCTGGTATGATGTGACACTAGAGGCGGGTAAAAAAAAGACGTGCTGGGACGAGGCCAGGGGGAGCTCAGGAGATGAACCTGCCCAAACCAGCCCTGTGAGGGCTGCCCGGTGCCCCAGCACTAACGCAGTCTCCAGCGCTGATCTACGGTCCTCAGCACTAACCTGGGGTCCTCAGCTCTGATCCAAGGCCCCCAGTGTCCAGGACCCCCGCAAGCCCCCTGCCCGGAGAACAGGCTCCACAGGCAGACATGAACTAAGGCTACCTTCACCAGGACTCCAGCGAGCCCTTGGGCCTAAATATGCATTTTTTTAAAAAAAAGCTCGTTAACACGTTCTTTTAAATTAGTGATTCCCCAGTTATGGCTAGAATTTAAACTAAATAAAAGCCCAGAAAAGCCCACCGCGCTTCCTCTCTGTGCAGAGCAGTGGAGCCCGCCGAATCATGGCAAAATGGACGTGTTCAATAATTAAAGGCAGAGATCAATATACGAATTATTCACATGCTGTACCAGGGACCTGGTCACCAAATAATTAATCTGTACAGCAAAAGAGGCTACAGACGACCTTCTACCAGTGGCCCAGGGAGAAGATTGACTCCTGTGAAGGAAATATCCGCCTCTGACCATGCTGAGCTCCAGGGTACCCCCTCCATCCAGGGAGCTGATAGCTTGAGCCAGAGGAGAGGAATCACAGCCCCAGGCCCTGACTTGCCCCATCCCCAGGTTTGTCCTGGGTTATAAAATTACCCTGGCAGGATCTCGAGCACCTTGAGCTCTGCCCCTGCTTAGCGTGGCACTGGTGGCTGGGCCAGGGCAGCATCCCAAGGGGGCTGACCCTTGCCTGGGTGGCACGAGGTGGGCTTCCCCCCACCTCAATGCCTCAGACACCTGAAAAAGCCCCAGGCACCACGGAAGGTCCCTGGCACTGCCCCTGGGCACCGCCCCTGGGCACCACAGCACCAGCCCCAGGCCGGCTCCAGAGCATCCTCAGCACCACCAGGCACGGTGCCGTCCCAAGGATGCTGCAGGTGAACGTCCCTCTCCTACCTCTCAGCCTGTTTCAGGGGCTCGGGGGCCGCCTCTTGCAGGGGAGCTTCGTCCGCTCCCTGCTGAGCCTGGAGGGCCTCCGGGGTTTCCTCGGGGACAGAGGTGTCCTTCTCCTCCCTCCTCTCCTCCTTCCTCTCCTGCTGCTGTGGCTTCAGCTGTGGGACCAGCTGGGGTTGCTGCTGCTGCTGCGGGGCCTGTTGCTGCTGCTGCCCGGGGGGTTTCTGCAGTGGGGGGTAGGCATCGTGCTCCGGCACTTCATAGGGGCCCTGCTCCCGCAGGTCCTCCTCCTCCTCCTCTTCCTTGGGGTAGCCTTCCTCGTTCTCGCTGTAGTCCTCATTGAACTCTTCCTCCTCCTCTTCCTCCTCCTCCAGATACAGGTCGTCGTCGTCCTCCTCCCAGCGGGGCGAGTCTTTGCGGTAGCTGACGGAGCTGTGGCAGGAGTGGTAGGAGTCGCCGTCCCGCTCGTCCAGCTCCGAGTCCCGGAGGCTCTCGTTCTCAAAGTCCTCGCTCAGCTGGGAGCTGCCCTGGCTCAGCTCGGCCGACGAGGCGTAGCGGCTGCTCCCCGTGGGGCTGCAGGGCCGAGAGGAGACAAGGACAGGGCTCCCGTGGGTCCACGTCGCGGCCTCGCCTGCCCCGTGCCGCCCCAGAGAGAGCCCCGGGGTCCCTGCCCCGCGGGTGGGAGGATGTGGGGCTCCCCCCGGGGCACGGCCCCAGCTGAGCACCAGGCTCCTCGTTCTGGGAGCTGAAGGCGCAGACCCAGGAGACTCTGTGGGCTGGGACCGGCCCCCCCGAGCTGGGGCACTCTCGGGGGTCTGACCTCCCTGCCTGTGCCTGGGCTGAGCATGGGGACGGGGGGGTCTTGTCCCCTCGGCTCGGCCCTGCCAGGGGTGGGGGCACAGTGCAGCCAGGCAGCACCCCCAGCCAGATCCTGTCTTCCGCTTCTGCCAGACGCCCCGTCCCGTCCCCCCCAGCTCCACAGATCTGTCACCCGACCCCTACACCGGCATCCCAGCGCTCCCTGTAGACCTCCCAGGCACCCCCCAATCCAGTGACACCCCCCCCCCAACCCCATCACTCCCCCTTAACCACCTCACCCCTACCCGGGGGGCCCCTCTCTACTCTTCCTGCCAGGCCAGACCCCTTTCCCACCGCCCCATCTGACGCACTGGCCCCCGGCCCTTCCAGCACCCCCCCTCTCACAGCCACCTGCACCTGGGGGAGCAGCAGCTCAGAGGGGCTCCCTGCAGCCCAGGAGGCTGCCGGGGCCAGGGCGGCCGCGGGGCTCCGTGGAGAGAGGCTCACATAAGCAAACATGCAGACAGGACAGGGACATGCCTAGGAAGAGGCCGACACCACGTCCCCAGCACCGGCAGCCAGGGCTCAGGGGTGGGAAAGGGGGAAGGGGACAGGAGGGCAGGACGGGCAGAGCCCTGGGCCCAGAGAGGCTGGGCCAGGCAGGGGGGAGCCAGGGGACACCGCAGGGAGGGGGGTGCTGGGGGATGCCCAGGCTGGTCCCAGCAGGGAAGCGGCACTGGCATCATCCACGTACCTTGGGAAGGGGGGCTTGGGGCGCAGGGGGGCAGGAGACACGGCTCACGCCTGGAAACCCCTCACCTCCCCGGCCTGATCCTGGCCAGAGCTGGGAGAGGGGCCCTTGGCACATCGTGAGGGTCCCCAATCACTGCGTGAGGCTTTTGCCCAGCCAGGTGCTCCCTGGGAGGGGACCAGAAACGGGGGCGGGGGGGGTGGCATGTGAGTCCCCGAGGCCCCAGGTCCCACACCGGCTGGCGTGACAGGGAACAGGCAGCAGTGCTGCCGGACGGTCGCTGCGCCGGCGAGCGGGGCCAGGGTGCCGGGGCACCACCCCCGTGAACTGGGGCGCAGCATGCAAGAAGGGACCCCACGGGGCCAAGGGAGGCCCGGAGCACCCCAACGCTGCTCCCCTGCGGGGCGGGGAGAGGGGGGACCCTGCGGCGGCACGAGGCCCCCCTTGCCGGGACTGGTGTTGGCCTCACCACGGCTGCAAGGACCGACCACAGCACTCTGCGACGGCACACGGCACGCGACGGGGTAGCGACCCACCTATCCGATAGGTCTAGGGACCGCCTGCTCTCAAGGGAAGGCTGGCGGCTGGTCCGCCTGCTCGACTCGGAAGCGGACTCAGCGTCGCTGCGTCCGTTTGCGGCAGAGTCTACACTAGCGTAGCGTCTGCCGGGGAGGAGAGGAAGATGGTCAGCAAGGTTCCGGGCGCCGCCGCCGCCACCCGCCGCGCCCTGGCATCCCCCCTGCCGCCGTGGGGACGCTGGCAGGGAGGCTCCGTCCGGCCGAGCGGCCGGGGCTGGCACCTCGGGCTGGGTGCTGGCGAGGAACCGCGGCCGCGGGGACAGGGCGCCGGGCGGGCATCGCTGCGTGCGGCTCTGCCTACAGCCACGTCTGCGCCCCCGGCCAGGCCACGCGCCGCTAGCTCGGCGCCCCGCGGGGACAGCCAGAGCTTGGGAGGCCCCGAAGCCCAGCGAGGGCAGAGGAGGGCGGTGACCCAAAAAGAGCTTGAAAACTTCCCAGTGAGAAGGAAAGGCGCGGGGCCAGCAGCAGCCCCCTCTTCCTCGCCTCAGAGTCCTTCCCTCCGTCACCCACCGCCCTAGGAGCGCCGTCCCTGGCGTTACCCGCTGGCCTCTGTCACCTGTGGAGGGGGGGGGGGGATTGAGAGAGCAGGTCCTGGGGGCGGGCTGGCTGCGCCGACACTACCTGATGGGCCGCTGGTCCGAGTAGTCCATCTCGTAGCTCTGCATCGAGTCGGTGTAGGAGTCGCGGGAGCTCTGCTGCTGGTGCCTCATGGGGTACTGGTGGACGGAGGCGTTGGGCTGGGAGGTGGTGTAGTACGGCGGCGGGATGCTGTTGCTGGTCTCGCTGCGGTAATCGCTGTCCCGGTCGTCCACCGTGCTGTCGGGGTCATCGTCTGCAAGGGACAGCAGTGAGTGGGATCGGGGACGGCCCCGCGGCGGCTGTGGCCGGGGATACCCCAAATCTGCCCTGGGCCCGGCACGGTCTCGTTACTGCCACCATGTCCCCACTGCTGTGGGACCGCGCTGGGGAGATGGGCCCAGGAAGGGGTGAGGGGCAAGCTGCACGCGTTCCCCTCTGCGGGAAGGGGGTTTGCAGGATGAGAGGAGGGCAGAAGGGGGAAATGGGATATACAGAGGGGGAGGAGGACAGGGTGCGGGGACCCGCCGGTGTCCCACCACAGAGGCAAGGCTGGGGCTGCTCATGGCCAGCCAGGCGCCCCGAGGGCACAGAGCCTCGCGGTGCCCGTATCCCCACCCGCCCGTGGGGACAGCCCTGCCCAGGACAGCGTGCTCGGTGCCTCGGTGCTCGCCCGGCACAGAGCCACAGCACGAGGCCGCAGGCTGGACCCAAGCTCCAGCTCCCCCGAGCCCCAGGCAAGGCTACGGCACGGCACCGGGGGGGTGAGCTGGGGACCACCAGGCCGGGAGGAGAGGAGGGGACGGGATACTCACTCTGCTGTTCTCCCCAGCCAAAATAATTCCAGTTGCCTACAAAAAAAAAAAAGGGGCAGAGACAATAAGGATAGAGGCAGCTGCGGGGCAGCAGCAGGAGCTGGCTGGGAGGAACCGGCATCTCCCAGGAATGGTGGCACTGAGCTGGGCTGGGGACAGTGCCCCACCATGGGTTGGGGACAGTGCCCAGAATGGGGCACACTGGCACTGAGCTGGGGCCAGGGCCTGGGGCTGGGCAATGACGCAGAGGCGGGACAGGGACGGGCCCTAGGGATGGGCACGGTGGCACTGGAGTGCACTGGGGACAGTGCCCAGGCTTGGGCATGGGGACATCCAGCTGGGCTGGTGACAGTGCCTAGGGCTCGGCACGGCGACACTGACCCAGGCTGGGGACAGGACTGTGGCTGGGCACGGTGGCACTGAACTGCACAGGGGCCGGGGGCCTGGGGCTGGGCACAGAGGCACCGAGCCGTGCTTGGGCCCGTGCTGGGCTATGTATGGCCCCGGCGTGGTTACCGAAGGAGAAACTGAGGCACGGGTTGGGACAAACCGAGCTGCCACCGCCAGTCCCTCAGACCCCGCTGCCAGTGCCTCCACCAAGCGACCCCCTCACCAGCCTCGCTCGCCCGAGCTCCCCAGGGGACCCTCCTTACCACCCCCATTGCCATGCCCACCCCCCCCCCCCACGACTCAGCCCCCCCCCGGGAGGGCTCACACACCGTGGGGCAGGGAGACAGCAAAGAAACGCCGGCAGACACGGCGGGGAGGATGGGACTGGGGACAGGGATGGGGAGTGGGGGGAGGTTGAGCCCCACTGGGGTTGGGGTCCAGCCCCCCAGGGCAGGCACGGACCCCTGCTCCTGCACATCCCCGGTGCGGTTTGCTGGGCGGGGGGGGGTCAGGGCCATGGGGGGCCCTGCAGTGGGGCAGGGACAGGGCAGCACTTACAGCACTGGGAGCTGTGAACAGGCAGAGGCTTTTCCTGCTCCTCCTGGAAGGCGTACTGGGGAGAGACGGGCCGGTGAGGGCTGCCCGCCCCCGCAGCACCACCGCTCCTTGCCCGGCCCTCACCCGGGGCCTCATTCTGTACTGACTTACATCGTCCTGGTCCCGCATGGCATTGAGCTGCTCCAGCTTCTTGGCCCAATACCTGGCCTCCTCCTCGGGGATATCTGCAAGGGGAAAGACCGCAACTGGTACACAGAACAGCCCCCCCCTCCAGCTTTTGGGGATACAGGACTAGACCTCCAGCTCCAACCCTGAGGCCCGTGAACATCCCTGGGGCTGGGGGCAAGGAAGGATGCACCCCAGTCCTGGGGTGCCCGGGGACGGTACCCACCCAGCGGCAGCTCGAAGCGGGTGTCCAGGAGGATACGGTGGAAAGTGGGGTCCTTGGTGCCTGAAATCTCGTTGTCTGTCATGATGACCTGGGAGTCGAGCGTGAGCCATTCCCCAGGGCCCTCCTGCGGGGCAGAAATGGGGGTGAGGAGAGCTGCCAGGGACCCCCCCCCCAGCCCCACGACGCCATGCACGCAGGATCTGGCCCCAAGCAGGGTCCTCTCCAAGCAGGGCTGGGGAAGGCTCTGCCCCCCCGCCAAAGGACAGCAGTGGCTACCTGTCCCTTAGGGTCTGGCGGGGGGGATGGACGGGTCGGAGTCCCTACCTCGTTGGACTGCCGGATGGTCCGGAGGGGGATCCACACCGTCCCCACCATGGTGTCCCAGATGAGCCCCTTGTTCCACACCTCCACCGTCAGGCCCAGGTCGAGCCGGTTGATCTCACTGGGGGGGGGGATAGGGAGGAGGCATCAGGTCACCCAGCAGCCCCCCAGGGCCACCTCAGCCTCTGTCTGGGGCCACCTCAGGCCCAGGACTCAGGTGAGCCCCCCAGGACTGGGGTCAGGGGGAGCACTGGCAGGGAGTGACATCCCCCTGGTGGGGGGGCAGGGGGGAGCGGCAGGGGTGGGGGACCCCGGGGTGGCCCCTGGACACTCACAACATGAAGTCCTGCTCCCAGGAGGGCAGGTTGCCCCGCACCGCGATGGTTGTGCTCTTGACATTTTGCACCTTCAGTGTCACGTAGGTGTTAAACTTCTCTGTGGGAGCAAGCGGAGGGTGAAGTGGCCCCCCCTGTGTGCCCCCCACCCCATCCATGCCCACACCCCCCACAGCCACTGTCCCACGGGGTCCCCCCCACAGCAGCACCCCAGCCCCAGTCAGCCAGGCAGGCTGCACCCCTACCACTGCCAGGTGACTTGGCTGCGAGCCCCCCCATCCTGCCCAGGGCACCCCCATCTGTGTGTGTGCCCCCCCCCCCCGCCTCCCAACTTGCCAAACGATGTCTCCAGAGCTGAGGTGGAGCCTGGGGTCCCCTCGCCACCCCCCTGCCCTTCCTCCGGTCCTGCCACACCCAACCAGCCCCAGAGCCGAGCCCCTCACCCCACACCCCCCCCCAGGAGGGCAGGCAGGTGGGGGGGCCTCTTACCTTGGGGCCCATCGAACTTGGCCTTTTTAACTGCGGGGACAGAGAGGGAAGGAAGAGATTCAGCCTGAGAGCCCCGTGCGGGGGGCTGGGGACCCCCACCAGGGTACCAAGGGAGTGGGAGGACCCCAGACCTGGCCAACAACTCCCCACCCCCCCCCCAATCCCTGGCTGCAAGGTGGGGAAAAGCAGTGGGATCCCTCCTGCTGGTGTAAATCAGGAGTCCCCAGTGCCAGGAGGCACAAGGGAGGGAGATCAGGCATGAGCTGGAGGAGGGCACCGGAGGGGAGCAAAGGCCCCCCCCCAAATCCTGCCGCTTTGGGACAACTTGAAACATCTCCTTGTCACCCCGAATGACCAGCCTTCATCTGTTGAGGGGGTGTTTAGCCCCTCTGCCCCCCAGCTTCTGAATTCGGATGCATTTGGGGAAACAGATGATGCTACACCGTGGGAAGAAAGGGGGGGTTTGGGGGGAACCTTCCCGCAGTTCCTGTCCCCGTCGTGGGCACCAGCCCAGCAGCGCCAGGGTTAAGGCTCTCGTCATCTCCCCAACCGCTGACCCAGATTTTGTACAGGAAAGGGGAGGGGGGGGGGGGGGCTGTAACCTTCCCTGCCCAACAGGGTGGTGGAGATGCTCCCCCCCACCTGCACTGCAGCAGGGAGCCCCAAAATAGCCCCTCACAGCACCCCAGCCCTGCCCCCCTCCCCGGGGGGCACAGAGGGGCCGGTTCCCATCCTGGGGACCCCTCCCAACCAGCCGATTGCATCTGGGCCGCATCCTGCTCAGCCCCGCGGGAACAAACACTCCCGATTCTGGCTGATCCCCCCCCCCCCCCGCCCCCCCCCCAGCTTTACACCAGCGCTGCAAGCAGAGGTGGCAGGAGGGGTTGGTACCCAGGTTTTGGGGCAAACCCGCTGCTGATGCCAGGGGGTGGTGGAGGTGAGCGGTGTCCTTGGGGCTCACGGGGGGCGGGGGGGGACGTGGCAGAGAGGGAATGACACAGCACCCGGAGAACGCTTAAATGACGCGGGTGCCAGCGGGCGGAGGACCAGCGTGACCCAGGAGGGACTAAAATAGCCCTGGCGACATCAAAGGTAATTTGATTTCAGAGCCGTGCCACTCGCCAGCCACTGGGCACCCGCCGCCAGCGCTGGAGGGGCCGTGGGGCTGCCGCTGGCTCCACGTGCCCGGCGAGGCTCAGGGGTCGGCCCCGGGGTGCCGCTGGGGAAACTGAGGCACGGAGGAGCCGCTGGCTGAGCCTCAGCGAACTGCTCAGAAGTAACTGAGGATCCCTCAGCGCGGCCACCGTGCCGCTGAGAGGGTCACGCGTCGGGCGGCTCGCTGCCTGGAGGAAGGCTGCCAGCCGCATCACTGGCAGCCGCGTTCCCAGGGAATCACAGGACTCCGGGAGCTGCAGCTTCGCTCAGGGATGGGGGGGGGTGGGGGTTCATGGGGAAGGGGGGGTTGGTGCGAGGCGAGGCACAAGGCTCTGGGGTCCCAAAGGTCCCCTAGCATCGCGGGGTTGGGAGCCTGGGCTATATCATATAATATATTACATGATCATATAACATTATGTGATAAAATAATTATGTTGTATATATTCTATTATGTCATATAATAAAATTATATGTACATTTTAATATATTATATCTATGATATTATTTTATGTATTAAACGTATAATATATTATATCAGAACACAGTATTTGGTGCCGGGACCTGCCCACGGCACGTGCTCGGAGCTGCACAGGGACCCCCGGCGTGGGTGCTCGCCCTTGCCCCGGACCCAGACGCACCCACCGGGGCCGATCGGTCTCCACCAGCTGCTGCCTCCGAAACGGGAGAGCAGAGGAAGGAAAAGCTCCAAAAATACCCGAGCTGACAGGAACAAACAATTACCCAGGGGACACGTGGCTCTCCGGGCTGTCATCTCCTGCCAGGGAGATGTCCTGATGCCACCATCTGCAGCTGATGGCCCCGAGGGGGCTGTGCCACCCGCCCGCCCACCAACAGGTCCCCAAAGCTGGCGCAGGGGTGGCAGGTCCCGGGGTGTCACCACCCCTGGGCTAAATTCAACCTGAGCCTCCAGACAAGGAGCTGGGGACAGCGGGACCGGCCCCCCGTGGGAGCTGGGCCCCCCCACAATAGGCTGGGAGACTCGGGGTGCTCCCCAGGCTGGGGTAACCAGCCTCCTCCTGGGCGGTGTCGGCCACTTGGGGAAACTGAGGCAGGAGGCAGCTGGCGGGGATCAGACCGGCAGCAGCGTAAAAACCAGGCTGGGCTGTGGGCACCCTGCAGCAGGCCTGTCTGTCTGTCTGTCCATCCCTCTGTCTGTCCACCCCTCCACCCATGTCTGTCCACCCATCCCTCTGTCCGTCCGTCCTTTGACCATCCATCCACACACCTGTCTCTCCACCCACCCCCTCCCTCCGTCTGTCCATCTGTCCATCCATCCACCCATCCCCTCCTTCCACCCCTCCTCCCCTCTGTCTGTCCATCCACACCCCCCTCTGTCTACCTGCTCACGTCTCCCCACCCCTCCATCCATCTGTCCGTCCATCTCTCCATCTGTCCCTTGGGATGCCCATCCACCCGCCCGTCCATCTGTCCGTCTGCCTCGCACCGCTTCAGACACCCCCCCCCCCCCCCCCCCCCCCCCGCTCACCCCACCGCCCCCCGGGGCCATTCAGCGCCCCTCACCCACGCAGACGAAGCCCTTGGGGGCTGCGCGGGGCCCTGGGAGGGGGCTGGGGGGAGGCACCTCCACCCCCTGGGACCCCAAAAATAGGGTGACAAGACCAGGTGCCCCCAGCGAGCGGTGACAGGGCGGCGGGGGGAGCCTGAACCCGCTGCCAGCGGGTTTCTCACCATCCACCCCCGGCTTCACGGCGGGTGTCACCGCGGGTGACAGTCCCTTCAGTGGGAGTGAAGACGCGGCCCTCCCCCCCTGCCAGAGGGGGGGGACGGACACCCCCCAAACCTGGGGCTGGCCGGTGACCGGCTGGGGGACATGTGGGGGCACACTGGCCTTGGCACTGCTCCCACACCCCACCCCCCCCCCGGGGATCCGCTCCCTGCGTGCTGTTGTGGCACTGCCACGGGAGGGGGGGTGGGGGGGGTGGGACTGGGCAGAGCCCCCCCACCCCGCTGAGCTCAGGCAGCGGTGGGGGGAGCCCCCATCTTCCCCCCGCTTTCCGCCAGGTGGGGGAATCCCAGACACCCTGTGCTCCGCCTTGTCCCCGGCTGCCACTCCGCCACCTCCGTCCCCCCTCCCTGGCCCCCACAGGTGCCACCCCCCCGCCCCATGGGGTGCCGCAGGAGCTGGGGAGGGAGGAAAGGGACATCCCCCCCCCCCCCCCAGACACTGACCCCCCCCAACTGAGCACTCGATGCAGAGCAGCCACCAGCGAGGCCGCAGGATTCATCTGCGCGCTGAGTTGGGCTGGTCTCAGCGCGCTGGGGTGCGGGGATCCCCTGCCTGTGCGCTCCCCCCCCAAGTTCCTCCCAGTATGGGGTGTCCAGCACCCCTAACCGGGCCCCCACCAACACCAGACCAACACGCTCCTTCCCTGACCCCCCCCCCCCCGCCCCCGGCTGCCCTCAACCCCCCCAGCATCACCATGTCAGAGGGGGGGCAACGCCTGCAGCAGCACAGGAGGCTGGGGGGGAAGGGGGGTGGTATTGGGGGCTCAGGTTGTAATTGGGGGGGGGGGGTGAAGGGTTTGCAGGGGGGTGGGGGAAAATAGGGGTGATTGGGGTTGTATGGGGTTTGTTTGGGGGGGTGGGAATGTAAGGGTGCTTGGGGATAGATGACGCCGGGGGGGGGGGAGGGTGGGAATCGTGGGCGTGGAGAGGGGCGTATGGGGCGTGTTTAGGGTGGGGGGTGTCTGGGAATGCGGGGGGGGGGGGATGCTGTGTCTGCAGTGGGTGGGGTGCGTGGGGATAGACGTGAGGGGTGGGCGTGGGGAAGGGGAGTTGCTTCGGGTGGGGGTTATTTGGGGAGAGAGGGGAGGATGAAGGTGGGCGGGGGGGGGGGGGGATGGGCACATGGGGGTCTGCGTGTGAGGGGGGGGGGGATGGGGGAAGAAGGGGGCTCCGGGGGGGGCGGGAAGGCGGAGCGGGGTGGACGGAGCGGCCGGGGTGGGAGGTGCGGGGGGAGCCCCCCCCCCCTTCCCGGCCCCCCCCCCCAGGGCGGGGAGGGGCCCCTCGGCGGGCGGGGTGAGCCCCCCCCAAACCCCACCCCACCCCACCCCCCCCCCCGCTTCCCCACCCCCACTCCTGTGTCCGGCGCCGCTCGCGCGCCCCCGCCGGTTCATTCATAAATCCAGGCGCCGTTTTTTTTTTTTTTTTTTTTTTGTGAATGGAGCCGTTCTCACGCCACCCCGCCACCCCCCCCCGCATCGCCATCAGCCCCGAGCGCCCCGTTGCCCACCGGGGGGGGGGGGGGGCGGGGCGGAGATCGCTGCCGGTAGCGGGGCAGCGACCCCTCCCCTCCCTCACCGGGCAGCGGCGCACCCGGGGCCGGGCCCCGCCCCCCCCCCCCCCGCGCTGTGTGTGTCCCCCCCCCCCCCCCCCCCGGTACCTCCGACGCAGAGCAGCGACATGGTCCCGGTGCCGGGGGCGCGGGGGGCTCCCGCCGCCGCCGCTGCCGCCGCCGCCCCGGTTGGCTAGCGGGCGGCCATCTTGCTTCAGCACCGGGGACAGCTCCTGACGTCAGCCCCGCCGCCCCCGCCTTAAAGGAGCCGCCGCCGGGCACCGCCCCCCCCCCCCCCCCCCCACACACACACTTCCACCGCACCCAGGGGTGGGGGGGGGGGGGGGGGGGCGAGTCGGGTTTAGCGGGGGGGTGGCCGGCTCTGTGCAGCCCCGGGGAGAGGGAGGGGGAAGGACCTGAGCGTATGGGCCCCGAGGGGGTCCTGCCCGTATGGCCCCAGGGGGGGTTGTCACGTCTGCATCGCCCGGGGAAAGCGGGGGGGGGGGGGGGGCGGCCCTGCCCCAATGAGGGGGGGGGGGTTGTGCTGTGCTGCCCATATTGCTCGGAGGGAGAAGGGGGGATCTGTGTTCCCCACATTGCTCCGGGGTGAAGTGGGGGGAATTTGTTGTTTGGCTTGTACAGCCCTGGGGGGGGGGGGGGGGGGGGTCTGTCGTTGCCCTCCTTGCCCCTGGAAGGGGGGGTTGGGGGGGGAAGATGAGGGGGAGTCGCCTGGCTTGTACAGCTCAGGGGGGCTCTGTCCTGCCTGTGCAGCCCCGGGAGGGGGGGATGATTTCGGGGTGCAGGATTTACCCCATGCTGGGGACAGGCACGGAGGGGGCTCGCAGCCCCTGGGGGCAGGAGGCAACAACGTGCCATGCTGTGCGTGTTCAGAGGTGGGTCTAAGCAGAAGCGGGTAAACAGTCCTCATCCCTCTCCCAGGGAGATCCCCTCTCTCCTCTCCACCTCCAGATGTCACATCCCAAAGAGATGCTCAGCCCTGGGCACAGCGACCCTGGCTCGGGAGCTGCCATGGTCCCAGGGTGGGACCAGCACCCGGTTTCCAGAGCCTGACCTTCATGGGAAGGATCCCACAAGCAGAGCCCCCAACTCCATCAGCTGGGGATGTGAGCTCCGTCAGAGCCCATCCCTGTCTGCCGCCCCTCTTGCTGTGGAGCCAGGTGATGCGCTCACTCTTCCACCCTACTGGTCCCAGTGCCCCTGCAGCGTAAGCAACGGTGGCACCAGGCCACTGCCATGGGATCATCACGTCTCACGGGGACCAGCAGAAGGTGGGGTCGGGGACACAAGAGGACAGAAAGATGCCAAGGGAAACCGAGGCACAGGGCAGCGAGGGAACATGTGCAGGGCCCTGTGAGACCCGATTGCCCTGATCACTAATGCATGGTCCCAGCAGGGCAACGGGGCCTGACCCCCCTGAGTAGTCACGGGCCTGGAGTGGGTCAGCCCTCTGCCAGAGGAAGACTGGGGGCACTGGGGGCGGCAGCAGGAGGCACAAAGGGTGGGCATCCACGCGTGCCAGCACACGCGTGTGCACACCCGCCCCAGTGTGTGCACGGAGCCTGAGCACACCCAGGCGTGCCCGCGCATGTCCACATGTGCACACACATCCGCAGCAGCACATGCGTGCGCACACCCACGTGTACCCACACACGTGTGCAGACAGACACCCCCCCCTCCCCGAGGCGGCAGAGCAGGCAGGGCCACCCACGGCAGGTAGTGGGGAGGCCCACGGAGCCAGGCTGGGAGCAGCAGAGCCCAGGGATGAGGCTCCAGGCACAAGCAGGAGGCGATGGGGGGATGCCCCAGGAGGTGATGCGGCGGGCTGCACAGTTAGGCAGAGCCCTGCCTGCCAGGGAAACTGAGGCACGGAGAGCTGGGCTTTGCACCAGTCATCGTGAGGCAGAGGAGACGGGATCGTCCTGGGCAATGTGGGGGTGCCAAGGCAGTCCTGCCCCGGGACCCCCCGGCCGGAGCAGCTGGCTCAGCCCCATCCCCTCCGCCGCCACGGCGCTTCCCCCAGCGTTCTGCTTCCCCAGGGACGGCAGAGCCAGCCCACGCCAGAGTGGGTGCCAGCACCTGGCATGGCAGCCAGCACTGCTGCTACCTCCCCCTGCCCGCTCAGGGGGGGCTCACCCCCTCTTCAGCCTCCCATTAGCACGTAAAAAGCACTGCCAGACTCCCATAAAGTCAAGGTGATGCCCATGACAATGGACCGGCTCTGCCAAGCGGGGCTGGCTGCCTGGGACCCCCTCAGCCCTGGCAGCACCCCATTTCCCGTGGTGCCCACCCTGACAACCCCTGCAGAGGGTTCCCCCCAGATCCCGCCAGGGTCCTTCCCCACAGCCAGGGTTACCCCAGGCCCTTTCCAACCCCCGCCAAGGTCTCGCCAGCCTCCTGCTGTATTTTTGAGTTCTGCCTTGCGGCACCTCCTCCCTGCTTCTGCTGGCGTGGCAGCCCCGGGGCAGGAGAGCCCTGCTGGGAGCAGAACGTGTCAGCTCCGCTCACAGTCAGCGCCTCGCCGGCGCGTGCAGACACACGCGTGTGCCACCCCACACAAATGCACACGGACACCCAGGCGTGCTCGTGCACACACACGTCGGTGCGGACACGCGCACGGACACGCGCACAGGGACACGCAGACGCTATCGCGTGCAGGCACCGCTTTAGAGCCATCCTTTTCAAGCCAAACAACAATTCTTAAACTGGGAGATTTTCATCATTCAGCACAGTCCATCTGTCCCCACCTCCGCCGAGGGGCCTGCACCCACTGCTGCCCGATGCCACCCTCCAGCACCCTCGCCCCAAAGCGTCTCCCTTCCAGCCCTGGCTCCCACTGCTGAGCTGCTCCCACGGCTCATCTTTGGGTTTATTTTCTGTCTCAAGCCCCTGTGTGAATGAAAACAAGCCTCGTCGGAAGGAGAAATGTTCATTAAAAGCTCCTGAGTTCTTTCCCCCCCAAAAAACTGGCTTTTGATCAAAAATAAGGTTAGAAAAATTGTGTTCAAGAAAAAAAACAAAATAAAAAAAAAAACAAAACAAAGCAAAACAAACAGAAAGAAATATCCAGGCCTTGAAATTAATTATTTCCAGGAGCTGAATTCCTGCAACCTGCCTCTCACGGTGTTTCCCTCCCCACACAGCCATTCCCCCCATGCCCAAACCGTTCGGCACCGTGTTCACGGCGGTGCCCAAGCCCCCCAGCGCAGGCAGTGCCCAGCACTGACAGACCCCAGCCAGCAGAACACTTCCATCCCCAAAGCTTCTCATCGAAATATCCCCAAATGTCATTAAATCCCCAGCTCAGCATAAAAACCAGCTTCTCCTGGGCCTTCAAAGCCAAAAAACTTCAAGCCTGCTTGACCCTTCCATCAAACCCCTGGGTCTCACCTGCCTGCCACCAGCACCACTGGTGGGTCACCGGGCTCCCAGGGGTGCGCCGGGCACCCGCTGTAGAGAGGAGCCTGGCTTTGCCAGTGCAGTGGCTGGGCGATTAGACAGGGTTGGAAAACCAGCAGGCAGGAAGGTGGGGAGGGGGAAGGCAGGAACACCCAGCAGGGCCTGGGGTTCGTCCCCGTGGGCAGCGCCAGGAAGGACCCGGCTGCCGGGATAACGAAGCCGTAATCCACGTGCAGAGGAGGTGATCAGCCCACGACCCCCAAACCTCAAGGCAGATTGTAATTATTGGGAGGATGGATACTAAATCCATTTAAATTGATGGGGACTTGGACAACTGGAAGCCCTGAGTGCTTGCTGGAGGTCGGGGTTCCCTGCGGCAGGGCCCAAAGTCCAGGAGAACTCCTCCATGGGTGGGGAGCAGGGGACAGGCTCAGGGGGGGAGGCGGCAGGCGTGAACCCCGGCTGGGATCCTTTGGGGATCCCTGCAGCGCACGTGGCACCAGTGGGGCCTGAAGGACGTGACCCCTCAGGTGCTGGGTCACGCTGGGACCAAGCCAGGGCAGCAGGACCTGCCACTGCTTTTCCCCAGCGACTGGATCGTGCCACCACACTGTGAGCAGAGATCAGTCCCCAGCCCCCTCCGGTCCCTCGGATGACATTCCTACACATCCCCTTTCAACCTCCAAGTTTCTACAGATGCGGGAGCCAGAGGGGAGCAGGGCCCCCCCGGCTGAGCACACCGCGCTCAGCGCACGTGTGCTGGCAGGCCGCGGGCTGGCAGCGCGGGAAGGGGCGGCGTGGGAGTCCGTCAGCCACGCCGGGACATGTCTGTGCATCTGTCTGGTTTCGAGGGTCCCTGGCGCGGGGGCTCGTAGGCTGCAGGTGGTACCTGCAGCAGCCCCTTCTCTGGGAAGGCAAAGCGAGAGCGATTCCCAAAGCCTCAGAGACCCCGTGTGTCCCCTTGCTGCTCCCCCGCCCCGGGTCCCTCCATCCCCCCCACGTGGGTGCCATCCTGCTGGCGTGCCCAGCCGGCTGCTGGCACAGCCTCTGCCGTGCAGTGACCACCCACAAACCCAAGAGCAGCCGACCCGCCTCCCCGGGGACAGCCGAGAAAGCTCCCGGGCAGGGATTATTCCTCGCCTCCATCCGGCTGCTTTTCCCCAAGTGCCCTCCGGGCTTGGGGGCTGCTCTGGGTGCTTTGTGGGGAATAAAGGGTCCGCGATGGCACCGGGAGTGGGACATCACGCCGGGGACCTCCTGGAGTAGCCGAGTGGGGATGGAGGCACCAGGCACAGCGGTGGCACCAGCGGCTGAGGGCTCGGTGAAGTGGCAGCTGTGCTACGACGTGAGGGCGAAGACCTGGTGGATGGTGAGTGGGGGCGGCCTGGCTGGGGAGTCAGGGTCAGGTCTCGGCTGCTTGATTTTGGAGGGGGGAGGCCAAGCGCGGGGCAGAAGCGGGGCTTTGGTCCAAGGACGTGGGGGTTATACCACAGCCCCTCCTGGGACCGAGGGGCAGGAGGGCTGCGGTGCAATCTGCTCGCCGATGCTCGTTTGATTGGGCAGTTTGCCTGCATCAGGGATTTGGTTTTCTATCTCTTCCTGCTGAACTTGGCCTTGCCCCGGGTCACGGCCAGGCCTGGGGCCGTGCTGGCTTGTCCTCGCTCCAGCTCACCCCAGGGTGCTTTGCTCCCGTGAATGTTTTTTGGAGAAAACCTTGCTGATGTCAGGGAACAACATCTCCCTACTTGGCCCCATAAAAGTCTGCTGATGCGTGAGCCTCACCCCAATTCTGCCAGCCCCTGTCCTTGGGATAGTGCCCATGAGAGGAC